TAAGCGAAATAACAGTTAGAAAAAGACAAATATCACATGATCTCACTCATATGTGGAATCTAATGAACAAAAAGAAACTGATGAACAAACAGGTCCAGAGGCATGGAAGTGTGGAACAGAATAAGGTTGTTGGAGGGGACCTGGAAAGTGATTAATCGAAGAACAAATATGCATAACTTATGGATACTGACAAGACTGTGGGGAAGGAAGGCCTGGGGGGTGGGAACTGTGTGGAGGAGGTAAAATGCTTAGCACTGTCTCCTATGTTTCTGAAAAAATAAAATAAAATAATGTCTTCTTTCCCTTCAATTAGTCAGCAGCCAAGGACTGCCTGTTTTCTCTGCGGGGTACTTATTTGTTTCCACTTAGTTTCCTGCTCTTTTCCCCCAAGGTCATTGAATCCCACTTTGATAAGTACATTCTTATTAAGGTTTGCTAGAGGCAATTGCAATCGTAGATGTTTTAAATTAAGGTCTTTCATTATAATGAGTCAGAAAGTCAATGAACTGAACATTATTTTCTTTTGTAGATAGTCAGCATTATTAGTCAGTCAGCATGTCCCTGCTCGGTGTGGGGTACTCTTGTGAATTCCGTGGGGTGTGGTGATGGCAGCATTTCCTGCAGAAGCATGCTGCATAATGGAGAAGTGGGATACACACAGGTAGGAAAGAACTGCAACTAAGTGACTAGAAGGCGGGAAGCATGGGGACAAATGAATAGCCCATAGCCTGACTAACCCAGGAAATCTTGAGAATGTCTAAAACTTCCTAAGTGAAGAGAATTATTATGAATATGAAGTACAAATCAGCTAAAAATATTGAGTGCCCATTGTATTGTATTAAAAAAAAAAACCACCACGAACTAGAGATAGTATTTTTATAAATTCATAGGGAAGATCACAGGTTCTTGTGGAAAAAAGGACAACATACATAGTAGACGACAAATACAGATAAGTGTGCAGCAATGTAGTGAAAATGAACATCTAATGCAGAAGTAAGGCTAAATTAAGTGGAAGGGACTCTGAAATGGGTCAGGGTCAAAAGTGACGGGGAGAAAGGAAAAATGCCCTCCGATATAACTCAGAGATGAAGTCTAGGGACAATGGGAACTTGCTGGGAACAGGATGATCATGACAGGATAGGGATGACTATATTGCTTCTGGTGAAGATTTTTTTTTTTTTTAAAGCATTCCATTGCATGTATCAGTTACATTTTCTTTTAAAATTATCTTTATTGGGGTAACATTGGTTAGTACCATTATATAAGTTTTAGGTATACAAGTCCATAATACATGGTCTGTATATTGCAGTGTGCTCACCATCCAAAATCTAGACACTTCCTCTCTGATAGTCAGCATACTTGTCTTACTCAAAGTAAGACAAACTCAAAATCTATGAGTTTGTTTCATGCTTTCTGATTTATATATTCCACATATGAGTGAAATCATATGGCTATCATTTTTCATCAGACTTATTTAACTTAGCATGAAATCCTCAAGATCCATCCATATTGTTGCAAATAGCAATATTTCACCATTTTTAAGGCTGAGTAGTTTCTATTGTATATATGTACCACATCCATCGAGGGACACTTGGGTTGTTTCCACGTCTTGGCGATTGTGAAAAGTGCTGCAATGAATATAGGGGTACAAATTGCTGGTCATGCAGCTTGGACCCCATGACTTTTCATATGGTTACTCATGTGGTTTAGACACCCCTGATCTTTTCCTTCCTGAAGATAATATATAGACCTCAGTTGTATTTCAGCTCCAGGCCCAGAAAAGCAGCTAAACCAGACCAGTGACTCCATGGCTGATCTCAGGACCAGCTGCATTGACTCATGACCCCCTGCCCTGGCCCTGATCAATCTGTGGATGCCAGGACCCTGAAAGAGCACCCTGGAAATCTGATGAATATTCTATTGCGACTCTCCCCTGAGACCTCCTTGTAGAGGGCCGCCTGAGAAGACACATGAACATCCTTTAAAATGTCAGCTGAGCCCGAGGCACTGGCAGAGTTCATGTTCGTGTTACACCCTCCCCTCCCCCCCCCCCCCCAAGAGGGCAGGGATGTTATTCAATTTCTGACTTACCTTTGTCCAGGTGTCAGCAGGGGTGGGTCTAGATATGTAAATCCAGTAATTCTAGGGCCTAATTAAGAATGCAAATAAACTCCTTTGACCCTATAAAATAAACCTGCTGTGTGGCTTGGGTGCTTGCTGCCTCTCCATCAGAAAGAATGGCGCCCACCTGGCTCCCAGCTTGATGAATCTATTTCTGCCTCTTGGTCTCTTTCTTTCTTTTGTTTCTTAATCCCCAGCTCCTCCACTCAGGAACTTGACTGTTTCCTTTTCCGTGATGGAGATGGACGTGGAAAAGAGAGAAACATCCTCCGCCCCGCCACCTCCCCTAAGATTTCCACCTGCAAGAGAGACGTAAATATGCTCAAGATGGAGGTCTCAGGGGAGCACGCACAGGCCATCCCTTCTCCTTTCTTCCCTCTAAGGGACCCCAGGAGGCTTACACCCAGGGGAGCAATGGGCAGCAGCAGCTCATCCCAGGTTCACCCCCTGAACCTGTCTTCAAAGTCCCTTTTCGCTGACTTTCAATTTTTTTAGGGGTAATTGCCCAGAAGAGGGATGGCCGGGTCAGGTGGTAACTATATTGTTTAAAATATGTTTTTATTGATTTCAGAGAGAAGAAGGGAGGAGGAGGGAGAGAGAGATAAAAACATCAGTGACGAAAGGGAATCATCAATCAGCTGCCTCCTGCATAATTCCCATTGGGGATGGAACTGCGACCCTCGCATGTGTCCTGACTGGAAATCCAACCGTGACCTCCTGATTCATGGGTCCACGCTCTGTCACTGAGCCACATCGGCCAAGCCTATTGTTATTTTTTTGAGGAACCTCCATACTGTTTTTCCATAGTGGCTACACCAATTTACATCCCCACCAGCAGTGTATGATGGTTCCCTTTACTCCACATCCTCTCCAACACTTATTTCTTGTCTTATTCATAATAGCCATTTTTAACTGGTGTGAGTGAGAAGGTATCTTATTGTGGCAAAAAGAAGGTGCAGGAGTGGGACTCAAATACACACCAAACCTTTAAAAATAGCTATGATAAACTCATGTAGAAGTTTAGATTTAATAGTTGGTCAAGTTAATTAATCCATCCAATGTATTATTATATCCAAAACAAAACCTACCCTAAGCAAATGTTTCCCAAGCCAAGCATTTTTTAAATTTTATTAAAATCACCTTAAATAAACCATGCATGAAAAACCACAGCCAACTAAATGGAAGAAGATGTTTCTAAGTGCTAGCTTTGATAAGGAGCTAATACCCAAAATAGTAAAGTAAAATACATACAGAACTCATACAACTCAACAACTTGTGGGAACGTTTTCTCTGGCAGAAACAGGGGGCAGATTCTGCGGGGTAGAGGGAGGAGGCAGCTTGGGTATGCAGACTACTGCCATGGGGTCCTTTTCAAGGAGGGAAAGGAAAATTAAAGTAATATCGGAGAAGGAGGAAGACCCAAGCCGCTGTGATTAGCGGAAACTCGAGAGAGGAGAGGCGGAACGGGATCAGGGGGCTGGGAAGGGGGGCAAGGTGCGGGCGGGGCCTCCGGGACGCCCCCTCACTCTGTCCCTAGAAAAGGAGCCCATTCCTGGCTGGGGGCCGAGTCCGGAGTCCCACGGCAGCGGCGGCAGCGGCAGCAGCACCAGCCACCGCTTTTGGAGACCCGGAGCCTCCCAGCCCGGAGCGCGGTGCGGCAGACAGTCCGGCTGGAGAGCTCGGGGCGCTGGGAGAGCGCTAGCAGACCGGCTTCCCGCCTTTCGCCTTCACCAGGGGTGCGTCCAGCTGGACTAGGGGTAGGGCTGGGGAGGTGGGGGTGTGTGTGAGGGCTTGCGGGGCTGGGGTGCCCTCCGGGAGAGTTGAGAGCTGCTGTCCCTCGGAGGCAGGAGCAGCACGCGTTCCAGGGGTGAGTGCAGCGCACGCAGGACCCCGCGCCAGGACCGCGCTGGGGCGCGGAGGGGAGGTACCCCTCCCTGCGGGGAGCCCAGCTGCGTCCAGGGGACCCCGCCCGGGAGGAGGGCGCGGGCAGGGAGTGATGCCGGAGAGTAGAGGGGAAAGGTTCTCTCCTAAGACCCAGCCCCTCCCTTTTTAGATCTTCATCAAGTAGCCACTGTCACTAATCTGTACAAATTCCGACGTCGTGAAAAGACCTTTAGAACCTGAATTCGTTTCATTTTTTGTCTCTTCATCCTAACTTTTTTTTTTGGGGGGGGGGGGGAGGTGGCAGGCAGCGGTATACAGGGGAAGAAGGGGGTTCCTGCCTTCCAGATCTGTCTGCACAGCTGCGCTCCTCCTCCCTGGCTGTCAAGCGTGTGCCAGGGGGCATTTCCAATGCCAGCCTCTCTGAGATGGTAGCTCTGGGGCACTTCAAAGCCAGTTCCAGTCCTTGACTTCCACCGAGGTGTTTTAGGTTGATTTACTGAGCTGTCAGTTGGCAGGGAAACTTGTGCAAAGAGCAGTAAGAAAAAGCCAAGATTTTGCTGAGCATCGTTGGCCCTGCTCCCTGTCAGTCTTATTAGCTTGTATGGCCTTGATGGTCTTCGTGCTGCATGGATCTATGTTAATCGCCATCCAGTTCCTGAACAACCCGGAGAAGCGAGGGGTCCACCGTGTATAACAAATACTTTTCAATGAGTAAAAAGGAAAGAGCATTTCAGTTATCAGTAACTTTGAAACTTAAAACAGGGCTTGAGTGTCCTACACCGTTTGGGTAAACTTTCCCCTCATGGTTACACATATAACAGGCTGCATTTAGATCCACTTAGTTGAAATGTGTGTGGTCGGAGTCTCGGCTAGGGAGACAGGAGATCTGAGCCCTGACCGAGTAGTATCCTTGAGAATGTTTCCAATCTGTGGAGGGAGAAGGGGAGAGCACATGCTTTTTGAGGTTTCTTCCAGCTCTAAGAATAAAGTGGCATCTTCATAAACGTGTTGGATTTCAGTGGCTCCTGAAGACAGTTTATTAGAACGTTGGTAAACAAGTTGTAATTGTAACATCCTTTCCAAGGATGGTCTGTGAGTCAGGCAACTTAGAAGAAAACCAACAAGTACATAGTAGGCCAATTTAGCTGGATCAAAAACGAATATGTATTAGAATTTTTTTAAAGATTTAAAGAGATCATTGATTAGATAACTTTCTTTTGAAGTTAGCAATGTGTCTTCTCTCTCTCTTTTCTTTTCTGTACAGAATATGGACTTTGCCACAAGAAGATGGTTTTGCCTACCACTGGGGTGCATGGTGCTGATCAATCTGATTAATGCCGATTTTGAATTTCAAAAGGGAGTGCTTGCCAGCGCCAGCCCAGGGATCACGGGAGACATTGACCTCCAGTGCTGGAATGCTTGCTCTTTGACTTTGATAGATTTCAGGGAACTCAAGATAGAGTACAGTGTGGATGCTTTCTGGAACTTCATGTTGTTCTTGCAAAAATTCCAGCGGCCTAGATATTACAATGTCTTCTTAAGCATAGCTCAGGATTTCTGGGACATGTACGTAGACTGCTTGCTTTCAAGATCTCATGGAATGGGCAGAAGATAGGTGATGCCTCCTAGTATAATTTTCCACAGAAGATCACAGGAGGTAATTTAAACGTGTATTTAAGAGAAGAACAGTTTAGTTTTCGTAAAAATTCAATACTTAATCATTTTGATTTTTCAAGTTTATCCAACAAACTTGTCATATTTTTTTCCTCATACAATCAGCTTCGATTCCCATTTTTTACTGATTTTATATTATGTAGAAACCTCAGAAGCGCTGATATATAAATACTTGATTTTGTATGACCTTGGAATATAATACACTTTGATAGATCATGAGAATTATCTTACTAGTAGCCCTGTGCACGAATCCGTGCGCCAGTAGGTCACTGCCAGCCTCCAGGTAGCTCCCCAGGCCCCCTGCTCATATCTTGCTGCCCTGCCCCCTCCTGTAGCTCTCCACCTCCCACTTGTAGTTTGCTGCCCACCCTCCTGCAGATCTGTGATCTGGTAGTGAAACCTTAGGGCTTAATGGATAATTAGCATATTCCTCTCTTATTAAATAGGATTTCCTCACATATATAGTTCATAAGGAAGTCATTCAACACAGTAATTATTCATATTTCATTTGTTGAAGAAATTGTTAGACATTGGACACTGTAAATCAATTTTTTAATAGAGTTATTTAAAAGGATGGAATCTTAAGAGTCATATTAGAATAAATATTCACAATTTCTCCTCTGTAACCTTGTAGGATTGGATTTTACCAAATGTAAATTTTACATTTAGAGAGAACATGGAAAATATCTCCAGCAAGATGACACCAACTTGAAAATTTAATTCTGTCAGTATTAATGAGGTCAAGTATTTCCTGCAGTATTTATCAAAATTGTTATTTCTAATTATTTAATATTAATGGTTGTAATTTTGTTGATGTGTGTAATTGCTTTATGGCCATTGATGATAATTTCCATCTTTTCAGGTGATTTGTTGTTTCTTACTTACAAGGCATCTTTATAAAGCGTCTTTTAAAAATTCCACTTAAAATGCAAATGTAACATTTTTTTATGCAGCATTCAAAGGAGTAAAATTATAATCAATTTTATAAGGTATCTTATACATAACTTTGATTTTAAAATTGTGCCAGACTAATGCCAGTATTGTCCTAAAAATATTTAATTTTGATGTAGTGTACTGTGTGGCTTTGATATGTGCATTTTATCACTGAGCCATCTTATGTATTAAAATATGTTGTGTTTTCTTATTTTTGTTATCTTCATTTTTAAAGAAGAATAACAAAACAATAAAGATTGAAAAAATAAAATACAAAGGAATAACAAACAGAAAGGCAGTAAGAAACTTTATTTTAGTAAAGTACAGTTTGATGGGATTTTTGTCTTTAGGTGGTAGCTCAGTCATTTTTTATATTTTCTATTTATATCTCACATCTTATTCCAAAAATGATCTGAAGCTTTAAAGAAATATACCAAATAGTAGGGCAACATGAAGTAGATGAGGAAATTGGGATGATGGGTAATGAAGACAGGAAACTAATAATATGCAGTTTTAGTTTAGATCAACACTTTAAAATGCATGTCATAAAGACCTTTGATAAAAGGTAGCTGTAAATGTTTTTTACTTTTAAGTAAGGCCTGAGTTTTCTACTTTTCTAAGAGAAGAGGGCTCAAGAGCTATTTCAAGACTCACAATGCTGATAAGAAAAACCAAGCAATATGTTTGGGAGAAGCCCAGCTTTTCCTAGGAGAGTGAGCCAATAGAAATCTGTCCCATAGGGTTTCATAATGGCTGCCTGCCAGTGTTCAGCACTGCTTTCACGTATCGGGACAATGACAGATTCCCCTTAATGCAGGCTGATGCTGGCACACCCAAGTGCAATATATCGATATATAAGCAACATTAAAAGCAGCAAAAGTAATACTGAACAAGTATGGAGCTCTCTGGTGGTTTGACTTGATCAAAGAATAAACTTTGAAGTGTGGGGAACTGACATTCTTTGAGTCACAGACCACTCTGAAAATCCGATAAAGCCATAGGACCTTTACTAGATGTTGTATATACACACTCTCATCATTTTGTGTGTAATTTCAGTGTACATGTGTGTGTATGCCCATAAATCCCAGGTTAAGAACCACTAATATTAAAGAATGAATGGACTGTATAGGTTTCAGGTATCTTTTACATTATTATTTCATACAACTGAGTTTTATATAATAACTGGTTGCAAAGAACATGAAGTCATAAGTCTAATAAATCCCTAGATTAAAAATATTTTTTCTTGCCAATGAAAGGTGGATCCTTAAGCTAAGAAAATCAACTGGTTGGAGGGGAGGGCTTACGTCCTCTTATAAAAATGAGCATTGTGTAGATGTACCATAGTTTTTTGATCCAATCATCTGCTGACAGGCACCTAGGCTGTTTCCATTGTGTAGATGTAGTATTATGTCTACACAATGGAATACTATGCTGCCATAAAAAAGAAAGAATTCTCATCATGTGCAGCAACTTGGATGGAATTGGAGAACATCATGCTGAGTGAAATAAGCCAGTCAATGAAAGAGAAACACCACATGACCTCACTCATTTATGGATAATAAAGAACATTATAAACTGATGTACCAAAAGATAGGATAGATATAGAGACAGTAAAGCAACAAGCAGACTATCAAATTACAGCAGGTAGGGTAGGGAGATCTGGGGGAGATAATAGATGAACCGAAGGACTTGTATATATGCATATAAGTACAACCAATGGACATAAAACTGGGGAGGGAGGGTATGTATGGGACGGGGGGCAATGTTAAAATATGTACACAGATAATAATTTAATTTAAAAATGTAAAAATAAAATAAAATAAATGAGCAAACAGATATTTCCAAGAAGATGCCTAATTCAAATTCTGAAGGTAGAGGCACAAGGTCATGATTTCTCTTAGAAAACAATTCTCTTTTACAACCCATGGGCAAATATTTGAAGCCAAAAACTCAATGCTATCCAGCAAGACAACATAATTTTACTTACTTACTTACTTACTTACTTACTAGAAGCCCAGTCAGAGTACAGAGGAATAACAAATTGTAGCACTTCGGAAGGGGCTGGCCAGATACATAAAGTCTGAAAGGATTAAATAAGAATGATTAAAGAAACTGGGTAATTTACTTGAAAAGACTTAGTAGTTTTGTTCTGTGATATAAAATGTACCAGATGAACAAAAGTTATTTGCCTAATTATTCACTGGGTTTTTCACCCAATATAGGCAGTCACTGGCTAACAGAGTTTAACCATGGAATAAGCTCCCTCGTATGGTAAAAATCTCATTACTGAAGGGTGTTGAAGCCACTTTCATTGGTGCTCACTAAACTCCATCCTTTTTTTTCTTTTTTTTTTATTAAATATATTTTATTGATTTTGTACAGAGAGGAAGGGAGAGAGATAGAGAGTTAGAAACATCGATGAGAGAGAGTCATCGATCAGCTGCCTCTTGCACACCCCCTACTGGGGATATGCCCGCAACCAAGGTATATGCCCTTGACCGGAATCGAACCCGGGTCCCTTCAGTCCCCAAGCCGTCGCTCTATCCATTGAGCCAAACCGGTTTCGGCTCCATCCTTTTTAGTCTTTTGACTTCCCTCCACCCCCCACTTAGTTTGCTAAGGTTTCAGTTTGAGCACTTGAATCCTTGTCTCAACTGACTCATGGAAGGAAATACACTGCCCACCTTTTAGTTAGGCTGCCTAGGCGAGGCAGTACTTCCCTAGGACTTGGGAGTGGTGTGGGAGCACAGGATGTGGAGAGAGACAGAGACTTACAGAGTCAGTGACGGTGAGACAGACAGACTGATTCACTCACTCGCTGGGGGTGGCTGGAATTGTAATAGGTAAACTTGGGTGTAGTCTGTCTGTGTCAGGATTAAGTCCAAGTGTCAGGATTAAGCAACATTCCTACCCCCCAACCCACCTACATTTATTCTAAATGGATACCAGGTAATCACCTACCCTATTTTACCTCTCTTCTTCTTGATAGGTAAGATATACACCGAGTGGCCAGATTATTATGATCTCTGAGCGCATAATAATCTGTCCACTCAGTGTATATCCCATATAATAAAAGGCTAATATGCAAATTGTCCCCTCGACCAGGAATGTGACCAGCAGGCAGGCCAGCCAACCGCCCATGTCCCCTTCCCCTGGCCAGGCTGGCCGGATCCCACCTATGCATGAATTCATGCACTGGGCCTCCAATACACACATACACACACAGAGTGGCCAGGTTATTATGTGTTCAGATACATAATAATCTGATTATGTGTTCAGAGACATAATAATCTGGCCACTCAGTGTATATGGCAGATGTCCCTGAGTATTTGGATTTTAGTCAGTCCTAATCAATCTGGCTATCAAGTCATATTTCAGACAAAAATGATATTCAACCAAGAGATACTGATTCTAGTTCTACACATGCTTTATTCATGTAATAGCTTTTATGCCTCATCATTTTAGAAGAAGCCTATCACTGTTATGGGCCTAGTGGGGTGGAACCTAATGGGTGATTATTTTTTATCTGACAATGAACGTAGAATCTATGCATGTCTTCCCAACTCTGCATTTAGTAGCATCATGCTGGTGGCTTGGAATAGGTCATAGTGGAGTGCAAATTGGCAAACATTACACGTGAGGGCCCTTGGCCCCATGAAGAGCTGGTTGTTATACATTGACACATACATTGCTGGGTGTACCTTATGGGCCTAGAATCTAGACAAATTCCAGTATGTCTTCCTGTCTAAGAAAACGGGTTATTTTATCTCCCAGCCCTGGTCATAAACTCAACTTAGTGGTTTCCTGGGTGGAATGGGGTTTGATGGGAATGGAGATAGGCTATGGAAACCTCATAATGGCACACAGACACACACACTGCATTCAGCATTAAGACATTTATCTCCTATTCTTTGGCAAGATACCTCCACCACAAAAGGAAAGAAAACACTTTCCCCCTAATTCCCCCTTCCCCACTAAAAAAGTAGCATAAGTTTGTTTTGCATATTTATATATGAAAAGAAAACCATCTGTTTCTTTATTTTTATTGTTTACCTCATGACTAACATTTGCTTTTTATAACAGAGATAACTTATTTCACTTGGACCAACATATTTGTTGCTAATGTTTTTGTGCCTGGTGTTTGTATATACTCATGATAGTAATATCCTGAGTTCCTACTCCACTACATCCATATGCTTTGGGTGGGGCTGGCAGACTTCTGGCTCTGGGAGTAGGCAGATGCAGATAGTGAATGGCTCAGGAATGGGCGGGCAGCCAGTCAGGAGCCCCACGATGCAGAGGCAGCTGCAGGACTGTTGAGAGACAGGCATGTACTTTTCTATACTGGACATGAACCTGGGAGAACATAATCCAGGAGCTGCTGGAGAAGGAGAAGATCCTACCCCCAGAGTTTCGGTCCTTAGATCCAACAATGCCAGTAGTCTTAATTACTTAGTCCTAATTTAGATAGCTACAGTCTATCCAAATCCCGCCCCCCTTTTGGGGGGGGGGGGCTTAAATTAGTTGGAATAGTTCATATACAACCAAAAGAGTCTTGACTGATATAATATGTTTCTCAAATTCAGTTGAAGGAATTAGTAACCTTTCCAAAAAAGTTGTTAACCACCTTTCCGATGCTTTGTGTTGATATTTTCCAATAAAAATAAAATCTATGTGCTTGCTTTTTTTTTTAATAGTATTTTACTAAAATATTTCTTCTAAAATATTTGTTTCTTATATTTGTATATAAAGACACATTTAACTAAAAATTACATGCAGAATTTATCTCAAAAACTCTATAGAGCATTTTTATGTAGGAACATTCTTTGGATCATCCGCAGGTTTTACTGCTTTCACCCTCTGTAAGGCTCCTCCTCGAACAGGAAGTTTTTTAAGAGCAATATCAGTATCAGCCAGAGGTCCTCCCACCAACCGCGCAGGAGTGCTCTCCACTGCTACTACCCGTCCAGAGAGCACCTACAAAGCAAAAGGTAAATAGCTAAGAGTCCATTTAGAACATTTTTCAGTAGGAGAAAAACTCATTCATCCGTTAGCTTATTTTGGAAACAACACAAAACATACATATAAGTAACTGGGAGGCAGCATGACCTACTGAAGAGATAAGGGCTTCAGAGCCAGGCAAATGGGCATGAATCCTACTTCTACAGCTCATTAGCTTTGCCATCAGGGCCAAATTATGTTTATAAGAGGACACCAGGAACACTGGGTTATGGCATGAATCTATCTGCCAGGCAAAGGAGGCACTGCACGTTTTCTGACGAAGGGATGGAGAGCTATCACCAGACCAGTGGTTGCAGCAGTTCTGTGGGGATCCTGGAGGGCTGGGTCTAGTCTAAACCAGTCCTGGATGAGGGTGGAGGTACCTTAAAGACAAACATGCCTCCACGATATGAAAGTTGAACAGAAAAAAAGAAAAAAATATGAGACAAATCCCATGGAAATAACACTCTGAGGACCAAATTAGATATCTAAAAAGTAACAGAGAAAAAAAATCTTACCGTTGTGTTAAGGCCTTTAATATCTGTCTGGTGAAATATTGCATTTGCTGGTCGTTCACCGTATCTAGTGGATTCGATAGCTTTTTCCTGAAGTTTTTTTGCTTTCTGAAAAATTTTAAAGTAGAAAGAAAATAACCTTGCTATTAAAGCATTAACTATGATATTTATAATGAAGGATACAAATTATATTTAATTATGTCTGGTTGCTTCTGTTTGATTAGTTAGCACTGGAATCTGCTAATCATTTAGGCTACGAAGATTAGCTAATCATTAGCAAGTTGTATCATTTGTACATTGCAGAATACACTGGTAACCTAAAAACATTACTGAGATTTCCAGAAATACTGGTCATATACCAAGCAGTAAAGCAGGTCCTAGAGAAATCAGGCTCAATTTTTAATGCATAATTGAATAAATTTCTGAATTTATATCAGGTGATGTGTTTTCAAAGTATTTTTGCATTAATTAAATACTAATTTAGTACTTAAATATTTCAAACATTTAGAATAATATCAGTTATATAATTTGTTGTGGTTACATTCAAGCTCAATATTTGAGGCACTAGAACAGGTGAAATTCGAGGTAACCAATGGTCTGTTTGGAAGAGGCTGATTTTCATTACCGGCATTTTTTTAAAAAAATTTTTATTGATTTTTTACAGAGAGAAAGGGAGAGAGATAGAGAGCTAGAAAAGTCGATGAAAGAGAAACACCGACCAGCTGCCTCTTGCACACCCCCTACCGGGGATGTGCCCACAATCAACATACATGCCCTTGCCCGGAATCGAACCTGGGACCTTTCAGTCCTCAGACCGATGCTCTATCCACTGAGCCAAACCGGTTTCGGCAATTACCGGCATATTTTATAAGTAAAGTTGGGAAGAACTTTCAGTGAAAAGGGGGAGACATGGTACACTGAATAAGTGTGTTCTTAGCTTTGCTCTTGCTACCTTAATATGGTTCCACTATTTTCGTGGATTAACATAACATGTAACAATTGCATATCTAGAGGAAGATTTACAGCATTACATAACAGTCTTTTCAAAGTGTTAATAGAAAATATGAATAAAATTAATAAGATTTTAGAAATCCATGATGCTTCTCATATAGTTCAAGTGAATAATTAGCATTATGAATGTTTTAACTTTAGCTTATAGTTGAAGCAGCTTCCAATTGGGTGTTTATCTGAAATTCTCATTTAACCTTTAATATTATGTTTCTTTTGGTGGTCAGAGAGGGGAAACATCCTTGGGGGAGAGAATAATATGGACAATGATTTTTTCTGCCCTCCACTCTGCTTCTTACAGAACAGAATAAGAAGGCTCAGAAGAGAAAGCAGGAGCTTTTATGTAAGCCAGAAACACCACCCTGGCCTCCCACTTGCTAAGTCAAATAAAATGCGGAGTGGCATCTCTGTAATTGTGAAAATTCAGTTTCGGTGATCATCCTAAATTGCATATGAGGATCTACTAGTGTTAACGTTCTACAAGAAGATCAACAGAAAAAGGTGAATGAATATTTACTCCTGGAAACGGTGTCAGAGTTAGCTATTTGTTGTGGATATCATAATATTTAAAAAATCCTACCTTTAAAGTTTTAGCATTTGACGTTCTAGCCAAGAAGTTTACCCATGACTTATTAGCCATTTCTCTTTGCTTGTGTGTGGCTTGTATCTGAAATGAGAAAGATAGTTAAGAGTTCCAGTTTCCATGAAAGAATACCAAAGGGATTGAAGGAACACCTAGTTTTTGCCAAGGTAAACTTTAAAGTTTAACTAGCAAAAGGATTAGTGTAATCACAAAGTTAACAACTTAAAAATAAAAGTCTTAAAATGAAAAAAAAAATGCTTCTTTCATTGCGTGTAGGATTTGAACTGCTTTCTCCAAAATGTAATATAAGACTGTTGTTATAAACATACAAAATATAAAAATAACAACAATGGCCCTGGCCAGTGTGGCTCAGTTGGTTGGGCATCATCCTGCGAAGTTGCTGTTTAGGTTCCCGGTCAGGGCACGTGCTCTGGTTGCAGGCTGGAACCAGAAGGGATCAGACAGGAGGCATTTGATCGATGGTACGCTTTCAGATAGATGTTTCTCTCTTCTCCCTTCCGCTCTCTCTAAAAATCAATAAACTACTCTTAAAAAAAAACAAAAAAACCACACACACCAAAAACAACCACCACCATCAATTCATAGCAAGACTGATTGTTTTACATGATTATCATTTGTGAGGATGTATAATAATCGAGAACAAAATGTATGAATGACCCAACAACAAATTCACAAGAGAAAGGTTCCTGCTGCCACTGATAATAGTTCATCAAAGATTATGAATTGTAAACATTAGCTCTAATCTCCACCTGCAGCAAGACAAGCAATAACGTTAGAGTGCCGGGTTGTTGTGGTGATGGAGCCCAGGGAGGTGACTGCTCACAAACTGGGAAAACTGTCCTCAGCACAGTCAGAGGACATGTGCCCCTGCTTGGTGTAAAATACACTGTTTCAATCATGAACCTAAGGGTATTTAACTAAATAACTGCTAAAAAATATATATATATAAGTGGGGTCAGAGCCATGAGAACAAATCAACAGTAACCAATGTATCAACCATAGCTAGTCTATAGAGCAGACATTCTGTCACTCCGCAGAACTAATGAGGCAGCAGATCTTCCAATAGGGTGACCCCAATTATGAGCAAATAAACAGGGTAGCGTGGCGGCATAAATAAAAATTATTAATAAACAAAATTTCCAAGCAAGGTGGTATCTCAAACAGCAGAATTCATTGGTGGACGCAGAGTTCCACTAGGCTGAAGCTATAAACTTGAGTAGTTTATGGGAAAGGAGCAGGCAATAGAAAACACTCTGGAAATCACCTTAGAGGGCTTTGAAAAAGTCACACAGGATGGCCAGGTGTAAGTGGGCATCTATTGTACATCATCTTTGCGTTCTGTGGACAAGTTAAACAGCCACTTACCCTCTTTGCTCAGAAGCTTTTGATGTGTCCGTTTCCCACCTGTGTAAAGCTTTAGGAGAATGGCTCATATTTTTCTGATCAGGTGAAGTCAGACTCCCGCCTATATCTGGACTCACAGAACGCTCATAGTGCTCAGGCACTGAAGGGAGATTATGCCTGTGGCTGGCACACCAGCAAGGGTTTATCACAGAGTGAGGGCCAATGTTCTCAGTGAGGCTATTTTTGTAGTCACAAAGATACACTGTTGTCAGAATTTGCTAAATGTATACACTCAAATGGCCAACGATTCTTAGAATTCTGTTTGACATTTCAAAAAAGAGAGTGTCTTTACCTTTTGAAAGGCAAGTCTATAGAAATCAAATTATAATGCCTAAAATAGCACTGAGTATAGGAATTGAATATCTTAAGCTCTTAACTCCATGGTGTCTTTTAAAAACTGTATAGAGTGAAAGTAACAAGGAGAGAAAATTACAAATAACTTTAAGTACTGAAACATTCAGAAGTAAGGCAAATATATCCTTGGAGGACTTCAACTAGTTTATACAATGAATTATCGTGTGCCTCAGTGGTATCTGTGGCTTACTTTTGCATATACTTTTTGTTCATCTTGCACATCCTGGCGTGCTTGGATATCACACATCTCAGATTGCAGGGAAGCAACCATCTGTCCAACATTTTCTGAAGCTGTTAAAATAGCTTGCAAAACATGTCTATCTGTAGTGACTGGTTTTAACTTTTCTAACTTTATTTCTTCATAAATTTCATTCCATATTTCTCCAATCTGTTATAACAAAATTTAAGTTTAAAAAAAAAAAAAAGTCAAATTAACAAAAGATAAAACATACAATTTTAGGTAATACTTTATTTTGATTGTTGTTCCAAAGTTAACACATACTGAACCAGCTTTTCCTAACTTACACCCTAGGCGTGAGTTAAGTGCACTGGAAATGATTTGGAGCACCAGTTACATTTGAGTATCTATAATATATATAAAGAGACAATATGCAAATTAGGCCAGGACAGGGGCAGGTTGCCCACGCATGTGAGGCTCAGAGCGGAGACGAAGACAGAGACAGGGGGGCCTGCCCCAGCCGCTGCGGCTGCTCAGGTGGCCCCAGAGCAGACACAGGCAGGAGGGCTGGGAAACACTGCGAGTCAGGCGTGGGTCCCAGCCCCCCGCGGGGCGCCTCTTCGCACAATTTCAACCACATGCTGGACCTCTAGTTCAGAAATAATTATCAAATGTTTTGCAAGGATACGGTATTCATGGATGAGGCTCCACTACCTAGGTCTAGTTCATTGCCATCATCCCTGCCCTCTGGTTACATACTCATTCTTTTCACAGCTGCAGAAACTGCGGCTTTAGTCTCATCCTCTTGAACTACTGATATTCTCCTTCCTAAAGCGTTGTACTGAAGGATGAATCATGCCGAACTTACAGGACAATGACCATGAAATTCTTGGGGCCCTAGAAACTAGCTACCCTGAGAAACAGGGCCCTGCCCCTCACCTTCTTGCTAAAGTGGAACTGAATCTCAAGGCCTTAACTCCATGTTTCCATCAAACTGAGAGTTCCATTGCATATTCTGGGTTGTTAGAAATTAATGTGTTTGAGTACATTTAAATTTAAAGAAAAATTTATATATCCAGGATAGAGATAAAATTCAGTCACCTTTTCATTTGAAAATAGAGATTTATTCATTTTTGACTTTCAAACACAGTATACTAGTATTAGTAGAAAAAATGTTTAAAAAGACTTCCCTGAAACTTCAAAAGCATTTATTTACCAAAAATAAACCAGCAAAGTAAGCAACCTTATACTGACATTTGATATTACATAAAGTAATGATAAAGAATAAGTATTATTAATTTATTTTAATAAGCAATAATTCATTTAACTCTAGCTCCTAATTATCGATAAAGAGAAGAAATTATATTTTACACATTCTATTAGGCTCCTGAATAGCTTTATCTCAGTAACAGCCACCTTCTTTTATAAACTCACTAGAGGCCTGGTGCACAAAATTCATGCACCAACAGGGTCCCCAGGCCGGCAATCAAGGCCAATCGGGGCCTTCCAGCTGTTGGCCCGGGCCTTCCTTTGCTCCATGCCACCCTCTGGTGAAGTACATCATAGCGGGTAGTTGAATTCCCGGTAAGTCGAACTCCCAAGGGGACAGTTTGCATGTTATTATAGCTTTTTACTATATAGGATATTGGATGAAATCTTATCCCACAGAAAATATAGAATCAATTTTTGTTATGTCTTTTGAATAGTATCAGATGCTAAATAGAAAATGAAAATTGCACAGTTTGGGTGACTGCTCACAATTACAAACAGATATTTTATTTCCCAATTGACTTTTTTTTTGCCATACTAGGTTTTAATAATAAGGTTAAGAAGGTACTCACTTTAAAATCAAGATATCTATGTATGATACAAAGGGTCACAAAATCTTTAGTAGATAGGCCAGGTAAATTTTCAAAATCTAAACAAAGTTTATATAGAGAGAATTACTTTAACAGAGCATGTGATCCCAACACACCCCCCCCCCCGGCCTCTTCCCCCCCCCCCAACCACACAAACACAATTAAAACAATGCAAACAGTAACTTTTGAATTCATCTTGACTTATGAAAAGGTTACTTCTGTGAGCTTCTGACTTCTTATTGCCAGGCCCTCCTTACGTAGTCATTAAAGAGAAGTAGTTTCGGTGCTTTGGTCAGACTATGGTAATTTCCTTTCAGAACCCAAAGGGTGAGGATGTTTTCCTTAGTCAGAAGCAGGACTTTTTAAAAAAAAAAAAAAACAAACACCCTCAGGTGATTCAGAATCATTGTGTTTATCCTAGTTATCTAGACCAGTGGTCAGCAAACTGCGGCTTGCCAGCCACATGCGGCTCTTTGGCCCCTTGAGTGTGGCTCTTCCACAAAATACCACGTGTGGGCACGCATGTACAGTGCAACTGAAACTTCGTGGCCCATAAGCAAAAGTCAGTTTTCGGCCTGGGTGAATCTATTTTGAAGAAGTGGCATTAGAACACTCAAGGGGCCAGAGAGCCATACGTGGCTCTCGAGCTGTGGTTTGCCGACCACCAATCTAGACTAACTGCCTTTAATTTGATTGATCAGGGTGTAGCCTGGACATTGGGAAAACAATGGAACATGCATTTGTCTGCATAAAGAACTTTTGTTCATCATGTTTGAAAAATGGGTTCCAAAGCAAAAGCAAAATACAGACTTAGCAAAACAGAGAGGCTCCCGTGAATCTGACAAGTAGCTTCTTACCTAGTTTGCCCAACACAGCATAAATTTTTGCTCTAATGTTTTCTGCAACATCCATAACTGCAATAGTCGGGCAGTTAGCAGGCATTGGCATGATTTTTTGCTCTGCTTGAAAACTAGTAAATAGAGGTTTCTTTGTATCTAATCAGTAGATGTCGTGAAAACATAGAGAGGACAGATAAAAACAGTAGTAAATTAATACTTAATTTTGAGATGTTAGTCCAGACATCATAAAATATTTAAAAACATAACACAGTAAAATAGTGTGCTTACATGGTTACTCTTTAAAAACACACACACACATATATATTTTTATTGATTTCAGAGAGGAAGGGAGAGAGAGAGAGAGAGAGAGAGAGAGAGAGAGAGAGAGAGAGAGAGAGAAGCATCAATGATGAGAGAAGCATTGATCCACTTCCTCCTGCATGCCCCAAACTGGGGATCGAGCCTACAACCCAGGCACATGCCAGGACCTGGAATCAAACCGTATGGCTCACAGATTGACGCTCAACCACTGAGCTATGCTGACTGGGCCTGGTTACTCTTTTGAAAGCATCAGTAATCAGTGATTTCTTCTCCATTCTGTGGCAAAACTTATAGCTTTCATTTTTATTATTTACATAAGATATAAACATTACACAAAATTGCTTTTTAAAAGTGAAATTCTTGCCCTGGCCAGGTGGCTCAGCTGGCTGGAGCATCATCCTTTACACCAAAAGGTTGCAAATTCAGTTTCTGGTCAGGGCACATTCCTAGGATGCAGGCTTGATCCCCAATTGGAACATGTACAAGAGGCAACCAATTAATGTTTCTCTCCCACATCGATGTTTCTCTCCCTTCCTTTCTCTCTAAAAATCAATAAAAAAACATATCCTCGGGTGAGGATATAAAAAATAAAAAGCGATGCCCTATCCAGTTTGGATCAGTGGATAGAGCATCAGCCCATGGACTGAAGAGTCCCGGGTTTAATTTTAGAAAAGGGCCCAGACCTCAGTTGCAGAATCCATTGGTAATTGATGTGACTCTCACATTGATATTTTTCTCTCTGTCTCCCCCCCTCTTTCCATTCTCTCTCTCTCTCTAAACATATTTATATATATATATATATATATATATATATATATATGTATGTATATATATATATATATGTATGTATATATATGTATATATATCTCCTCGGGTACGGATTAACAACAACAACAAAAAAAGTATTTTCATTTAAGAATAAATAATACTAATTGTAACCATAATAAGAATATTCAAAGATTTAGAAAATGTAATGTAGCATTGTAGAATAGATAAATGAATTATAAATTTTAATACTGTAAACTTCATTGATTTAGGATCTAGTAACTAAAATTTATGAAATCTTTGATTTATTTTTATTTTAAAAAGTAAGTTTCTTCACAAAAAGTAAATTATATAAATATGAAGCAACAACAATGTACAAAATACTATAAAAATTGTTTTCAAGCCCTCTATTTACATCCCACTTTTTATTGGTAGATGAAATATTACTGAATCTATTTGTAAAAACAAGTAACTCAAAGAAGCGTTACTTTTTTAAAGTTAAAATAGATTATAAAATAGCATTTCCTGAAATTTTTCTATAAAAATATAAATCTACTATTAGTATACTTATAAAACCATTCAGAATTTATTATGGCAAGCTGTGCAAACACCTGTGAAAAGAACTTTAAATAAAGGGATGAAAGTCTTTATACGTTCCTAGTATCTTCTTTTTTCTTTTTTTTTAAATTAAATTTACTGGGCTGACATTATACACGTTAATAATAACATTATATAAGTGACTAATAGCATTATATAAGCTTCAAGTTTACAATACTATAACACATCATTTGCATCTTGCGTGGTGTGCTCACCACCCAAAGTCTAGTCTCCTTCTGTCACCAAGAATTTGACCCCCTTTACTCTCTTTACCTTCCCCTGACCCTCCTTCCCTCTGGTAACTACCATACTGTTAGCTGTGTCTATTACTTTCCTCATCTTTATAAGATATTTAAAAAATGAGCCCAATTGCTTGTACTGACAATTATAAATACACTCACCAACAATCATCCCGCGTTTATCACGTAGTACCCCTAGTTCTTTTTCTTCCTTTCTCCACAATTTAATCAAAAGGCTGGCAGCTGTTTGATCCTTCTTCCCTCGCCACGTATTGACGTGAACCGGGGTTTTGGGATTATCACAAAATTCAACCATTATTGCAAGTATTAGATTACAGAATTTCTTCTGGTCCAACTTTTGCAAGGGAACAGAAAAAGAAAAAGTTGCAATAAATATTAAAAACTATTACCTGAAAAAAGGAGAAATATATGTATTAATCAGTGCTTCTTCTAAATGACTGCCTTATAAAATTGAAACTCTACTTAAGTATGACCTGTGCTAATTTCCTGTTAAAATAGAAGCCAATGGTAATGAATACATTTTCAAACATTAGGAATTAAAAAGAAGAAAAAGATTAAATGTAATTCTAATGTTGTTACAAAAACATACATCATGACCTAACATGAAACTGACTGATTGACGAGGAAAAGGAGAGAGCGCAAAAATAAGTAAATATGTTTATTTTAGGAGGAGTCAGGTCAACGGTGCTGTATATAAGTCACTGGAACAACAGGATCTTTCCCATTTACATGCTTTAAGGTATGTAAAGCCTCATAACAGCTATAACCTCATTGTTACTAAGAGAATTAGTGATGGTAAATGCAAGTGGTAGTCACATATGAAAATAATTTAAAATGAGGTGTAATTTTGTATTTTGAACATCAGCATCCATAAAAGTGTAAAGAATTTAAGGAAAATTATCAAGCATATTTCCTTTGTTTTGTGAGAACTAGTTTGCAGCAAAGCAAAATGTAGGCAGAAAAAAGTGATCCACAGCAATGGCCTCCACACAGTGATGGCTTCTGTGTGAAATATATTTTATTGATGAGCTCTTATAGCACACTGCTGATAGACTAGCAAAGGAAACGTAACCTGTTGTTCCAATTACAGTAATCATTTCCTCTTTTATTACATGAAGGATAATAACATTTACCTACTTTAGGGAGTTATTACCGTGAGTCATATGAGACTGCCTGTCACATAGTAAACTCTCAATAATATTTAACCACTATTGACAATTATTATTACACACTGAATAAACATTTTAGCTGATTACATTAAGCAGAACTCTCAATACAATGAATTTTTTTATATCTGTATTTTGTTTTTAGGAGAAGGGCTGAGGTTTATATAAAAACTTCATTAAAATGTTTGTAATTGTAATTTAACTTGACTGGTTTAAACTACATTAAGCACAATCAAGAAATTATATTCACAATAATGGAAAACATGTGCATAGTTTCAGAAACATCTAACTAATGTTACAATAACACTGTGTGTATATATGAATATAAAGTGTATATACAAATGCATGTGCATGTATAATGCCTGCGTACACACATCACTCCTCCTCCTCCCAACAGTGCAGGAGGTAAGTACTGCTGTTATATCTGTTTTGAGGAAGTTGATAGAGATATTAAGTGACTTATCCAAGTTACACAGCCAACACGTATTGGCTTCCAGCCTATGCTCACAGTCACTGTACTATAAGACCTGTCCTACCGGCCTTTGTACCTTCCCATCAAAGAAACCCTAACAGCAAAGGAGAGTGAACACAAGTGGGAAATATCTTTGAAGTCTTGCATATAATTGTAAATATTAATATGAAACTCAAGTATTTAATCTATGTTTAATATAACTCCTCACTTCCAAATCTATAGGGAAAAACAAGATTCCAGGAAGATGAAATTCATTTTGGGAGGTTGAGAATCCCCTGACGCAGCACCATGTGCCTCTGAGCATACTCGAACTGTATTCAGTGCAACGTGGTAAGTAGTTTCAGACCGCATTAGTAGAGGTACACATATATTCTTCTCTATATGTTTAACTTTCTGAACATCTGAAGGGTTTCTGGTTATGATTCAGTCCTATTTATCAAGGTGGTTATTTTAATAATTATTATTTATTTTTGTTTGTAATGTTTTATAGCTAATGAATTTGCTCTCTTATCTCTAGGGTCAACTAATTTTCTTTTATTATTATTATTTTTTTAACACTCATCCAGGGATATTTTTTTCCCATTGATTTTTAGAAAAAATGAAAGGGAGGGAGGATGGGTAGAGAAAGAGAGAGAAACATCAATGTGAGAGAGACACATCGATTGATTGCCTCCTCCTCCCTCATCCACTGCAACACTCCCCCATCAGGACTGGAGAACCTGCAACTAAGGTATGTGCCCTTGACTTGGAATTTAACCTATAACACTTCTATCTGTAAGCCGACACTCCAACAACGGAGCCAAACCAGGCAAGGCTAATTTTCTTTTATTTATTATTTTTCCTACTTGAGTTTTTAATATATATATCTTATCTAATAAAGAGGAAATATGCAGATTGACCATCACACTATAACAAGACGTTGAGCCCACAGCGGAGGCAGGAATCCCATAACACACGATGGCTGTATCCATAGAGGAGGCTGAGTTCCAATAAGAAGCCTTAATGGCAATCAGCAGGAACCTGAAGCTGTGCCCCTCCTCCCCCCAAACCCCCACTCCCCTGCCTGGTGGGGCTTGACAGGGGACCTCAGGCTGCACCCCCTGCCCCATCACCAGGCTGGGGGATCTCAGGCTGCCCCTCCCCCCACGTACCTCAGATCATGCCCCCTGTTCCAGCACTAGGCTGGAGAAACTGAGGCTGTGCCCCTGACCTGGCAGGGCTTGAAGGGGTGGGGCCAGCCGAGTCTGGATCTAACCCAATGGGGGTGGGGCTGGCTGGATCTGGGTCTTGCGTGATTTAAAGGCGCATGTGGGTGGGCGGGGACTTGACTCTGGTTCCCATGGTGAGCCCCAGACTCTGACAGGAGGAAGATTTTCATATATATTTTACTAATTTTCTTTCATCTCTGACACTTCTATTATAGAGAAAGGGCAAAGAGCAATATTAAAATATTTCCTCTAAATTCCTTTTTAAGTGCACAAATTTTGTGCATTGAGTCACTAGTATATGTGTGTGTGTGTTTGTGTGTGTGTGTGTGTGTACATATATGTGTATATATATATATATATATATATATATATATATATATATACACACACACACACACATATATTTAAAATTGATTTAAAAAAAGAAAATTGACTTGAGAGAGAGGAAGGGAGAGGGAGAGAGAGAAACATCAATGATGAGAAAGAATCATCCATTTGATTTGCCTCCTGCATGCCCGCTACTGAGGATCCAGCCGATAACCTTGGCATGTGCCATAACTGGGAATTGAACTATGACCTCTTGGTTCATGGGTGAACATTCAACCACTGAGCCACACCAGCTGGGCAAAAAAAATTTTTCAATTACAATTTACATTGAACTCTTTTTCTTTTAGAGAGATGAAAGGACACAAATAATGTTAGTCTCTTTGCTAAATCAAAATAGTTTGTTATTCTGTTAATAAAATCAGGCATTGGCAATCAACAGTGAGATAGCTAAAACTCTGTGAGGATATCTCACAAAGTTTTATTTAAACAAAAATTATACTTTTCTCAAACCCCCCACGTCATCTTGACTGTGAACTCATAACTGAGGCCAGTGGGGAGTTACTTTGACTATAAATGAGGGTCCTTGCCATTCTTCATAGCTGCTAAGTGGCAACCTCTTTCCTGGAAGGTTGCTCACTCCTGCTCATTCTGTAAAATGCTCCAGGCCACACTAGCTTCTTCACATTCCCTATACACTATACACAATTCTTTAAACATGCTGATCTTCATTCCTTTCTCTAATTGGCCCTTAACTTTTATTATTAAGAGATGAAGCTAAAAGTTATTAAACAATTACAGGTCTTGATAGTCTAGCACTTCATATACTGTTTCTTTAAAGATTGCTGGGGGAAACAGCACATAAAACAAATTCTATGTTGTCGTGGGTTTGGGAACACTGTCCTAAATAAACTGATTTCTTCACTGGAGTGATTTTCAGAGCCATTAATATGCAAATGAATATTATAAATCCCCAAAAGGGATTTTGCTTAAAACAAACGCTTAAATATTTTTGGGGAACATTTAATTACAAAACAATGTTTTGTGGTACTCAGTTTGGGAAGGGTTAATAAAGACTTTTTTTTGTTTTGTTTTACAACTGTTATAATCATACTTACTGCCAATAAATCCAAAAGGAGAAAAATGCCTTCCTTTTCAAGAAAGTAATCCTCTAAGGAATAACATGCCAAGATGCAGCACCTGAAATAAAAAAGGAAGTTATTCACTAAACAAGGATTTATTGTTAAACTCAATTTGTCAATTTATTGCTGTAAAATCTTTTTCAAATTACTTTTCTTCATTTCATAAAATCAAGTAATATTTTTACTTAAAAATTTAACTTTGAAGAGACTTTGCCAGTGTAGTTTAATTTCAACTATTTTAAAACCACGATCAATTAATTATTTTTCATAACTACCTATTGGCTTTTCTGTAGATGCAATATGCTCCTTTGCTTTCATGGATATTAATTATTCTTAGAGGTTTCCTCTGGTTTCTCTAGCAACTTTTTCTTTAAAACTTATCCATCTATTATCTCTTTCACAGTGTTGATATGTCTTATCTAATTTAAAAAAATATATATATATTTTTCTTGATTTCAGAGAGGAAGGGAGAGGGAGAGAGAGATGGAAGCATCAATGATGAGAGAGAATCATTGATTGGCTGTCTCCTGTGTACCCCTTACTGGGTATCTAGCCCACAACCCCAGGCATATGCCCTGACCAGGAATCAAACATTGAACTGCTTGGTGCTCAACCAATGAGCTACACTGACCAGGATCTTTCTTCTTTTTAATGCGGGCATTTATCATTGTAAACTTCCTCTTCGTATTTCTTTTGTGTTACTACATAAGTTTTGGTATGTTGTGTTTTCATTTCAGTTTGTCTTGAGAAATTTTCTAATTTCCTCTTTGTTTTTGTCTTTGATCCAATGGTTATTTCAGGAGTTTGATGTTCAATTTAAATTCATTTATGAGTTTTCCTCATTTCCTTTTGTTACTGATTTCTAGTTTTATTTCATTGTGAGCAAAAAATATATTTGGAATTATTTCTGTCTTCTTAAATTTATTAAGATTTGTTTTTGTGACCTGGCATGTGATCTATTCTAGAGAATATTGAATGTATGCTTATTAAAAAAAACTCTGACCCTAACCAGTTTGGCTCAGTGGGAGCGCATCGGGCCTGCGGACTGAAGGGTCCCAGGTTCGATTCCGGTCAAGGGCATGTACCTTGGTTGCAGGCACACCCCCAGTAGGGGGTGCGCAGGAGGCAGCTGATTGATGTTTCTCTCTCACTGATGTTTCTAACACTCTATCCCTCTCTCTTCTTTGTAAAAAAAAAAAAAAAAAAAAATTCAATAAAATACATTTAAAAAAACACACCAAAAGACAAAAAACTCTGTCTCAATTCTTAATTCACTTTTGACCATCAAATATGTGGGCTCCCCTTCCCCCAATACCAAATGGGTGTCCTACAATTCAATTTAATTCTGACACTATCTACCTGGAATTAGAATAAGAACTCACAGGTACTGGGTCCAGTCCCACAAGACTATACTGCCTCTGGCCCCACCTTGGATGCCAGTCCAGGTTGCTTCTGACCAACCAGCTGTATATTAGATGAGCCACCCTCCATGGGATGGAAATCTGTTAAAGAGGCTCACAGAACTAAGGAAAACGATGTACTCACTAGATTACTGTTTTGTTATAAAAGGGATGGAAGAGATGCAGCAGGCAAGGGAGGGAGAATCTCCATGTCCTCTTCTCAGAACCTCCATGTGTTCACAAGCTGCAAGCTCTTTCAGCCTCATAGCTTAGGGTTTGATGTAGCTTCATCATGGAGGCACAACTGGTTAAATCACTGGCCGTTAGCGACTAAACTCAATCCCCAGCCTTTCTCCCCTCCCTGGAGGTTGAGGGTGGGGGTGATATTTCCAACTCTCTAATCAATTATATGATTGGTTCCCCTGGAAACCAGCCCCCCATTCTGTTTCTATATATGGGGCTTCCAAAAATCATCTTATTAATATGAACTCAGCTGTGGTTGAAAGGGACTTGTTATGAATAACAAAATGTTTATTGCTCTGGAGATTTTAGAGAAACCGAGAATAAAAGATCAAATATTACAACAACAACAGATGCTTCCATTACTCTTATTGGCTAAAAAATTACAGGTGCTTCAGGAACTCAGTACTAGGAATTGACCAAATCTATATTTCTTATTATAAATCACAATATCACAGCAGCACTTGAAAAGAATATGTATTCTACTGCTATTGGATGGAATGTTCTGTATATATCTTAGGTTCATTTGATCTATAGTTATCAGTTTTGTTTTTATAATGTGTTGCAGTGTGTCTTTCATGAATACCACCCAAATATAACTAAATAGATATAGTGTTAATGATATATAAAACTCAAGTGACTTCCTCCAGGACAGTCTTGTAAATTACTAGTAATATTAAGGAAAGCAGTATTTTTTACTCTTAGAAATGCTACAAAGTTTGGGAAACAATATTGGTTAGGAAATACATAGTCAATTGGTTTTTAACTCCTTTAAGAAAAGATGAATGAGGAATTCAACAGTCTTCAAATGTAAGAATAATACTAATAGATGTTAGTGTTTTCCCAGACCAGGCTAAAATGGAATGGGTTCAAATCACAAAAAGAAGAATTTAAGTTTAGATACGAGAATTGATTGACAGACAAGATTATCTTCCAAAGAACACTGGTAAGTGTATTTTGGGGACTATTAAAAAAAATAAAAAAGGCATTGAGAGAGTTAACTTTCTGGTGTGATTTTGAGGAAAGAAAATTGGCACACATGGCTATCGAGATAACTTTCTTGTACTGTGATTCCATCTAACTTGAGTTCAGTAATACTCACCAAATGCTGTCCAATGTACTAAAAAGAAGTACAGTATAGCCTAATCCACTCTGAAACTTCTTCGGGTCTGTTTTCATTACATGAAGAACTATGTCCACTCCTTCAGTTCCAAAAATTTCCTAAGAGATTTATTTAAAATTATTTATTGAAATAAATAAGTAATCCCTTTCTTTCCTATTTCATCCTGTCTCCTAAAACTTTTTCTATCAGATAAATACAACATTGTTAGGAAAATACTACTTTTTCTTTTCTTTCTTTTCTTTTTTTGTTTCTGAATGGGTACTTACCTGTTCTCAGGAATTTAGGACAAACTATTTAAACCTAATCATTTTAAGAATGGGCATCAATCAATAGTCCAGCTTAATGTTCCTTTATATTTTGTTTTTTTCACTTTCTCTCTCTTTGAAAAAAATAAATCATAAGGCCTGTCCCATGATTTTTTTTCACAATATAATGGATATAGTCAATCATCATATCAGATGAATACTAGATAACAACAAGTAATTTAAGAGTCTAAAATTCGATCATGGAAAATTTTCTAACACTCCAAAAAGAGAAACAAATATATAAACATCAGTTAAAACATTAATAATCTATATCACATTATCAGTTAATATTTATCCCCTTCCAATTACCTTCCTCATTGCCTTGTTGTTCAGTTCTAGTTCCCAATAAGCAAGACTGAGTATTTTTCCAGAAATATAGTAACAGAGTGGCAATATAAGAAGTTGCATAAAAGCTTGGAGCTAAGGATGTATTTGCTGTTCCTGTTCTCTCTCTCTAAAATCCCTCTATTGAAACTTCCATACACTTTTTATTTTTATTGATTTCAGAGATTAGAAGGGAGATGGAGAGAGAAATAGAAAGATCAATTATGAGAGATAATCATTTTTTTGGCTGCCTCCTGCACACTTCCTACTGAGGATTGAGCCTTCAACATGGGCATGTGCCCTGACCGGGAATCAAACTTATGACTGCCTGATTCATAGGCCAATGCTCAACCACTGAACCATGCCAGCCAGTCTATACATTTTTTATTTTCATCTTTCCAATTCTGCCTCTTGTTTTTTAAGTTTTCAATTTGTGAGACTCAGAGTTTGCTATGAAGTTAAAAAAAATCAAAGGGAATCAGCTCTTTTCCAAACTTTTAGTTTTATATTTGAACCTGATTCAAACCCAAAACAGCATTTATATTGGTACAACTTACTTAGAATGGAAAAACTGTTTACCATTTCTTAAAAACATACACTTACTTTATGATCCATCAACTGCCCTATTATATATTTACCAAAGAGTCATGAAAACATTATGTCCACAAAAGACAAATACAATAATGTACATTGATGCTTCATATATAATAATCTCAAATGAAAACAACCGAAGTGTTTGTTAATAGGGGAATAGAGAAGCAAATTTTTGGTATATTTGTATAATCAAATATTATTCAGCAATATAATTAGCAATACTGATCATGCAACAACATGGATCTAATTCAGAAATATGATGGCTGGATGACAGGAACCAGATACAAAAAGACTAAATACTATGATTGCATCATTATAAAATTAAAGAATAGGCAAAACTAAGAGGATAGAAATCAGAATAGTGGTTTCCTGGAAGCAAGTGGGAGTATGATTACTAAGGAACACGAATGAATTTTATAGGGAGGTAACAATATTCTACATTTTAACAAGGTTTTTGGTTAAATGAATGTATGCATTTCTCAAAATCTACTGAACCATATACTTAAGACCTATACACTTTACTGTATATAATTGTACTATAATTATAAAAAATATTAAATTAAATCTCGATAAGATTAAAGAACACCAACATTTATGGGCACTTAATAAGAAAAAGCTCATAGCGTTAGGTCAGTGGTCAGCAAACTCATTAGTCAACAGAGCCAAATATCAACAGTATAACGATTGAAATTTCTTTTGAGAGCCGAAAACTGACTTCTGCTCATGGGCTATGAAGTCTCAGTCACACTATATGTGTGCATCCGCATGTGGTATTTTGTGGAAGAGCCACACTCAAGGGGTAAAAGAGCCGCATGTGGCTCGTGAGCCCAAGTTAGCTGACCACTGAGTTAGGAGATTGGAAGATCTAAACAAAACTTTTATTCACAGGCATACATACCTTCCTGGAAATATTATTTTCACAAAGAGAAGATAAAATAAGTAATATATCAGATTGAATTTCCAAAAGAATGGCCTCTTCCTTGTCATTAATCTTGTTTACTGTATATTTAAATATCCCTGATATAAGAAAATTAAAGAATGCAAAGTTAATGAACAGTATATTTTTATTTTAATCAATTATTGCTTTGAAATCCTTTCTTATAAAAATCTCAGCTAGAGAAATCATTTTAAAAGGGGCTATTTTCATTTCATAGTTGTCTAAAAGATGTAGACAGGTGATAGTGATTCATTGATCTCTCAATAAATCAGTAGCCCCATCTATATAGAATTTCTAGTATAGAATTAATGGAGTGTCATTAAGATACCCTAACAACTTAATATTTTTTTTTAAATATATTTTATTGATTTTGTACAGAGAGGAAGGGAGAGAGATAGAGAGCCAGAAACATCGGTGAGAGAGAGTCATCAATCAGCTGCCTCTTGCACACCCCCTACTGGGGATATGCCCACAACCAAGGTACATGCCCTTGACCCGAATCGAACCTGGGACCCTTCAGTCCCCAAGCCGTCGCTCTATCCATTGAGCCAAACCTGTCCCGGCTCAGTAAACAAAACCACTTAAAAATATGCAGTTTCGTGAGGTAGAATTGAGTACCTATGCAAATATATTACCAACATGCCTGATAATTGCTTGCCTTATCCCTTCTTTTCATGGCTAATAAGGTCAATTTTAAGCAAAGGTGGAAGACCTCTGTAAGTATTTTTGTTTTTGTTACTTCTTTCTGCATCCTCTCCTTATGTCTATGTGAAGGAGTCTTCAACAACTTTAGGTAGCAGTATTCTCATGTCCTTTAAAATCTCTCCCTTGCTTCTAATAAAATTTTAAAAAGACTTGAAAATAGCCACTTACTCTGATGCAATGATACTCACAATAAAATTTTGCCTCAAAAAATTTTTTTTCTTATAGCTCTGAGAGAGAAACAAAAGTCATTTTTTTCCTCTTTAAAGGGGTTACTGGCATTAGCGGACGGTGTGGAGCCAGGTTTGAAAGTAGGACCATGGAAATCACAGCCTATCTCCACAGTTGGCTCTGAATGAAAGATTCTTGGTCCTGTGAGGATGCATTACTGGTGAGGGGTCATCCCATAGGGAGACTAGTGAGCGTGCTGGAGGCCCAGTGCTGGAGGCAGGCCATGGCCTATATGCCTTTATCGGCAGCACCTTCTAGAAATCCACGCCTGCTGCCCATAGGTCTGCTTTTCCTTTCTAGGTTATCTCATTCTCCTTCCTACCCGGGTGCAGGCATGCCACTTTCCCTGTTGTCTGAACCACATGTTATATTAACACTGAATTACTTTGTTCACATTTCAGTACCTTTAACTCCCTGCCTTTCACCCTCTGTTTGTTCTATTCTAAATCATCTGATGTATTTCTTGCAGATTCCTCTTCCTAAAACAGCATTATGCACATAACTTCCCTAGTGGCTTCTCATGCCTAAAGAGGATGGAGTTCAAACTCTACTATCTCCTATTCAAAACTCTTTCTAGCCTGGCCCCTGACTAGACAATTAAACGTGCCTTCTTAAAACTCTGACTCTACTTAAGCTACTTCTGAACACACCATAATGCATATTTGAACACCATGTCTCTGCTCAAATTTTTTACTTTCTTGAAAGTAGCCTTATACCCCAATTCAATACAGGTTCCTATTAAGATTGCCAAGACCTCAGAAGAGGTGAAGGGATTAAGAAGTACAAATTGTGGTGAAGGCCTGGGGTGGGCTGGGGGCAAACTAGAAGAGGTCAATGAGGAAAAAGGGGGAGGGGGGGGGGGGCATATGTAACACTTTCAAAAATAACGATTTTTTAAAAAGGAAGAATTGGCTGTTACAAAATAGCTATGGGGATGTCAAGTACAGCATAGGGGATATAGTCAATAATGCTGTGATAACTGTGCATGGGAACAGGTGGGTACTGGAAATATCAAGGGGAACACTTTGTGAAGTGTGATTGTTGAACCGCTATGCTGTACACCTGAAGCCAATACAGACTGAAAGGGCAACTAATGGATTGGGAGAAAATATTTTTTTTAAGTATATTTTATTAATTTTACAGAGAGGAAGAGAGAGAGATAAGAGAGACAGAAACATCGATGAGAGAACATCTATCTATCAGTCGCCTCCTGCAAACCCCCCCCCCCCCCCCCCCACTGAGGATATACCTGCAACCAAGGTACACGCCTTTGACCAGAATGGAACCTGGGACCCTTCAGTCCGCAGGCCGATGCTCTATCCACTGAGCCAAACTGTCCTCGGCTGGGAGAAAATATTTTTAAATTATATATCTGACTCAGGATTAATATCCAGAATACATAAAACTCCTAAAACTCAACAACAAAATAAGCAACTGATTTTAAAATTGGCAAAGAACTAACTAGACATTTCTCCAAAGAAGATATACAAATGGTAACAATCTCATGAAAAGATGCTCAACATCAGTAATTTTTAGGGAAACGCAAATCAAAACCACAAGGAGATACTACCTCACACCCATTAGGATGGCAACTATGAAACAAGTATCAGAAAGGATGTAGAAAAACCGGAAAACCTGTGCACTGCTGGTGGGAATGTATAATAGTGCAGCCACTATAGAAAATAGCATTGCAATTCTTTTAAAAAATTAAAAATATAATTTCCATACGATCCAGTAATTCTACTTCTGGGTTAAATCCAAAATAATTGAAATGAGGGTTTCAGAGAAATATTTGTATACCCATGTTCATAGTAGCATTATTCACAACAGCCAAAAGGAAGAAGAAACCCAAGTCTCCATTGAAGGATGGGTGGATAAACGAAATACACTACGTACATACAATGCAATATTATTCATCCTTTAAAAGGGAGCATTTTCTGAGTGTGCCAGTGATGCCAGATGAGGAAAACTCAGCTGGCCTTGCTGGCTTTGAGGAGGATGGAGGAAGGGGACTATGAGCCAAGGAATCAGGTGGCCTCTGAAAGCTGGAGGAGGCAAGGGATTCTCCTCCAGTGCCTCCAGACAGAAACTAGCCCTGCCAACACCTTGATTTTAGCCCGGTAAGATGTGAGTTAGACGTCTGGACGATAGAATTTTAAGATAATAAATCTCTGTTGTTATAATGTTTTTAATAAAATAAATGGGAGGAAATTCTGACACATGGTACAATATGGCTGAAGTTTAAGGTCATTATGCTAAAATTGAAACAAGTCAGTCAGAAAAAGACAAATACTATATATTCTACTAATATGAGTGAAAGACCTACAGCAGTCAAATTCAAAGACACAGGGTAGAGTGGTATATGGCAGGGGCTGGAAGGAGACTAGCAAATTATTACTTAATGGGTACAGAGTTTCAGTTTTACAAGATCAAGAGAGTTCTGGAGATTGGTTGCAAAACAGTATGAATGTACTTAACACTAGTGAACTGCACACTTAAAAATGATGAAGATGTTAAATTTAACATTATATGTATTTTACAATTTAAACATTTTAAATAAAAAGTAAGAATAGTAAAGATAAAAAAATTGAGAGAAAAAAGAATTCTTCCTAAAACTTGTTTTTATTGTATAATCCCCCGAGGGATCCCAGATAAGAGAAGGTGCAGACCAGGCTGAGGGACACTTCTCCCCCCAACCCCCAACCCCTGCACGAATTTCATGCACTGAGCCTCTAGTACCCTGATATTTCATATCAGAAAAGAATCTCCAATGTACATTTCTGCATGTATCAGTGTTCTGGTATATCAGATGCACTAGAAAATGTACTGTTATCACCTCTTTTAAAATGACTTCAAAAGACTTGGTCAAAAAATGATAATCTAATTGTCAGAAGAATGAAATATAACAGTGGCCCATTTCAAAAATAAAGGTAGCCCTACATGAAATGGTATTTGAACTGAGAAAACAAATGTTTAAAGCATGGGTAATCATGATGTTTCAGTGAAGAAACTGATTTATAGCAACAATATGAAACAAAACAAAAAAAAATCAAGAAAACATTCAGGAGTTTCTCAGCTATAAAAGCAAAATAAAGTTGTAGGAAAACATTTTAAACAAAACTGCTCTAATTTGTAAATATTCTATTTCCATCAGTAACAAGCAAGTCCTACTTACCTATGAGTTGCTGAATTGTCCCCTTTTCGCAAAGATCCTGATTCACAGTCTCATCCTCAAGATGGATCATGGCTCTCAGGAGTCTTAAAGAGTAACGCAAGTGGGCAAACTTGTTGCCGCGGCCGCCTGTGCCGTGAAAACTGTTACCGTGACTGAAGAAGCATTCTGTGGAGAAATACTAATGAGTCACTTTGCATCAAGAAATTTAAAACATGAAACTTCAAATAAACCAAACAACGTATCAGACATCTACCTATAAGTTTACAAATTCTGTTTTCTACAGAAATAAAATGCCTTCCCTCTCCTCCTCCTATTCCCAGAATAGGAATCTGTATCTCTTGTAACTAGCTTCTATTACTCAACATTGTTTTAGAAATTATTCAAAGTGTCAAAAGTGGATCTAGATTGTTCATTTTAATTGCTTTTAGCATTCATTTTATAAATAAATCAGTTTTTCAATTTCCGAGTACAAACTGCTAAAATGAATATTCTTACTCCCACTGAGAAGAGTTTTGTCATGTAGAGTATGCCTCCAATGAATTTTACTGAAGTTTCCAAATTGTTCCCCAAAGTGGTTATACAGATGTAATGTATAAGACTAATAGATTCTTCCCAATTTGTTAAATGTGAAGTGGGAATTCATTATTATATTAATTTGCATTTCTCTGATTACCAATGGAGTTAAGTGTCTAATAATGTTTTATTCTTGAAAATTTGACATTTTCTCTGTCACCTGGCAGTCTCTATACTTTATTTTTCCATGGAGTTATTTTATTTTTGATATGTAGGAGTTTTTTATGAACCTGGACTCTAACCCTTTATTAGTCACAGGGGTAGTAAATGTCTTCTCTCATTTGTAGATTGCTCCCCTGATTTGTCATAGACATTTTATGTGTCAGTCTTCTCCTGTATAGTTTAAACACTCTTCTGGTTTTCCAGAGCTTTTCTACTCTGTTATCATAAAAGTATTTTCCCATGCTTTCTCCTAAGATTTTTACAGTTTAACTTCTCATATTTAGGGCTTTAATTCATTTTATAATTGATTTTTTTTAACATGGTGATAGGATCTAACTTTTTTTTCCCCACGGAGGGCTAACTGCCCTAGCACCAACCTTCCCTCTATGATTGGCAGTGTCATCTCTGATAAAGCCAACCTCCCGTATATTCCATTCCATTGATCTATTCCTGGTCTAGTACCACACAATTTTAATTACTATAGCTTTATGGTAGGTCTTGATAAATAGCAAGGCAAGTCCTTCTTTCTTCTTTATAACACGCATTCTTCAAAAGGTTGGAGTGGGAATTGAGCATACAACTGACGTACATAATCGAAGCCAGGACCCTTCAGTCTGAGGGCTGATGTTCTATCCTAGGGGTGTCAAACTCAATCAGAGAAGGGGCCAAAATCTAAAATCCAGCCTAAATCGCGGGCCGAATGGTTTACTGAACAGTCATAAACTGTCATTGTGATGGAAACGCAGCGGAGTGCAGTGATGACAACGCGGTGCGGGCCACATTGCAAAGCCTGGCGGGACGGATTTGGCCCGCGGGCCTTGTGTTTGACACGTGTTCTATCCATTGAGCCAAACCAGGGAGGGCTTGACAGGAATGGTTTTGGGCCACCCACCTTCACTTTCACACCATTCTAGAAAAGCCAGGATCCGAGCATTTCCCTGACACAACATATACTCTTCTATTAATAAAGGAGCCACTGTTGACAAAGTGGCAAGTGCATGCAGTTGTAATTCTTCATACTGTGCTGCAGACCACTCGATTATTTTGTGCTTCTCAGGCTTTTTTACATAGGTAAACAAAGCCAAAACAACTTTGCCATCAATTAATAGCTATGAAAAAGGCAAAAAGTACTTTGTTAGAAATTTAATTAAAACTATTTTATTTATTTAATCTAAGAAAGTTAAATAAAAGATTTCCTCTTTGGTGATTTATTGATAATCATTTCAAAACATTTCCTTCCTAAAGATCTCAACCTATGGTAATTACCCCAAACATAAAAATAAAAAAACCCAAACCAAACTCAACAATACACAGTTGGCTCTGATCTCCAACTCAATTCCCACTCCAACCAATCGATGTTTGTCTCTCTCCCTGTCTTTTTACCTCCCTTCCACTCTTTACATCTATCATTTTAATAGTTATATAATATTCCACTATAATAAACCATATTTTGTTGAATATTTTCTACCTGGCACTTAAGAAAATACATTTAAGTTATACACACACACACTCACACACACATATATATATTTGATATAATAAAGTTGTAACCATAAATATATTTTTTCTTTTCTGAGCATTTTTAAATATATATATTCCTCAAAGTGGCATGACCAAGAACATTCTGAGCTCTTTTAATCATCATAATAATCCCCTGAGGTAGGTGTTACACCCAATCTGAAGTAGAGATATGTGGGATTTAGAGAAACTAAACCTGCTAGTATTCAAGATCACATAGCTAGAAAGTGACAGCACTGGATTCCATCTGACAGGAGCCTTACCCTCTATGCAAACCGCTTTTATATTATCATTCAAGATGCTGACAGAGTAATTCCCAGTTCGTTTTCATGGTAACTCCCTGGAGATTGAATGAGTTTTAGGACTAAAATGAAATTTCACTTAACGTGGGAAATAACCAAACTAATGGGAATGTAAGCAGTACATTTTTTTTCTGCCCCTTTACAGTTTATGAAGCCTTCAACTTAATCTCATGAATCAATCTCATAACAGCCTTGTAAGCAGGACAGGAGTTTCATAATCTTCCTTTTATAGAAGGAGGGACTGAGCCTCAGAAATTGTAGGTGATTTTGCCAAGACCACATAGCTAGTAGGTGACAAATCAGAAGTAAAATTCAGCCCCAGTGTTCTTCAAATTATATCATGCTGTTACGTAGGTTATAAAGTATTAAGACAAATTCATGGATAATAATAATAATTAAAAAAAAACAACGTAAAGACATTAGGTTGGAATGGAGAAGGGCAGGTTAAAAAGATTTGAAATTGGCAGCAGATGTTAGCATGCCTCCAGTATTGTGGTCGGTAAACTGTGGCTCACGAGCCACATGCGGCTCTTTGGCCCCTTGAGTGTGGCTCTTCCACAAAATACTACGGCCTGGGCAAGTCCATTTTGAAGAAGTGGCATTAGAAGTTTAAAAAATTTGGCTCTCAAAAGAAATTTCAATCGTCGTACTGTTGATATTTGGCTCTGTTGACTAATGAATTTGCCGACAACTGCTCCAGCAGAACCAACCCTTGTTGCTAAGGTCAGAGACAGACTATTGTTGCTATGGTCAGAGAGAGACTATTTTGCTAGATGGGCCTATGTGGATCTTCTTTCGTTTTATGTTCTCTTATTGAGGGGATCTAAACGTGTAACTAAATCTCTAAGTTTCTCCTGTTTTTCTTTGGTTTATGTGATCTATGTTTAGGTAAGTTCACTGTTTATTTACTGATAATCAAAGGAAATTTTGAAAAGGTGAAACTCTAGCCAATAAGAGTTTGTTACTTTCTATGGTAAACATTTTGGTTGATAAAAGATTTTTAGCCATGACTTTTAAAAAGTTATACTACAAGGTGAGTTGCTTTTAATATTTGTCTTAATTATGCTTTACCTGTACTGTAGTCAAATCTTTACATAAGATCACAAGTATATTGAACAGCAATTTCTTCAACTCAAAATCTTCATAGGAATTAGAAAGCTTAAGACCTTTCACCAAAGGATTTTCACTTTTAACTGTGTGTGTGGGGGGAAACAGAAACAGTAAAATAAAAGCTAAAATGATATAGTAGATTCATCAAGCTAATTGTAGGTTGAAAGTTTTATGGTTTTTACCTTCATTAAAGGTTGCAAATAGTATCAAATCCCTGGTAAAGCCACATTCCTAATACAGATACATAAAACAAACAGAGTGGAAAGTAAGTTACAGATGCCCACATTTATCTAATATTCAAGTATCTTTACTAGATTTCCCTTATTTATTTGATTGAGCCTGAAACCCGGGCATGTGCCCTGACCAGGAATCCAACCATGATCTCATGGTTCATAGGTTGATACTCAACCACTGAGCCATGTTGGCCAGGCAAAAGTAGTTCTTTTCAATAGTTTTCCTTCTTAAACAACCCTGTTCCCACCTTAGCCCCAACTACTGTCATTACATCAAAGGTTTAGGCAAAAGAAAACGAAACAGTTCCTACTTACCATGAAAAGCCCTGAAGAGTGACCAGAATTGCAAGCATTTCCCTGTGAGGGAACTCATTCCTGACAGATTGGACTTTGTCAGGTAGCGTTTATAAGGGCAAACCCTGGACTTTTGAGCTTGCAGTTTTACATACCTACTGTTTAGAATCAAGATGGTTCCTTTAAAATGTGAAGATGTTATTTCTTTGACTCACATTCAGAAAACTTACATGAATGTTTGCAAGGATGCTAATGAGAACTTACTCACTGACCAAGGCTTCCAGAGAAGCATATATGTCTGCATTCACATGGCAGCCTTGACAAGGAAGCTATGTTGGCCTGCTTCCCCTTTTGCACAGTGTGAATTCCATGACTGTTCTCTTATTTGGGATCACTTGATGCCCATTAACTTGGGGTTGTGGCCTTCATTGCCAAGTTTCCTTTAAATACAACTTAGAAAGTATGAGGCTGATAGGTGAATAGTGTCAGCAAAGATCTCTACACTAGGATGTCAATCATCTAGTGACTTTCACATTATAAAATATGGGGAAGCTAAGCTTCTGATGTAGCTGAGTAGCTCCTACCTCTTGCAGGTAACAATTATCAATTCTAATAAAATATATAAAAACAATTATCTGTGACCAAAACCAAACAGATATTGGAGGAGAGTTAGGACTTTGAGGAAGTGACATTGTCTGAGTTTTCCCTTAAAAAAAAAAAAAGGCTTACAAAATAAGTAAATTTGCAATCTTGGTGGCTTGAAGAACCACAGAGGACAGGAGCAACCACAGGGCAACTCCTGCCACTGGAAAGTGAAGGGATAAATCCCATAAAGAAGAGAGCCAGTCCTAGCTGGTTTGGCTCCGTGGATACAGCATCCACCTGTGGGCTGAAGGTTTGATTCCAGTCAAGGGCACATGCCCAGGTTGCAGGCTCAATCCTCAATAGGGGGCATGCAGGAGGCAGCCAATCAGTGATTCTCTCTCACCATTGTTTCTTTCTCCCCCTGTCGCTTCCTCTCTGAAATCAATAAAAATACATATAAAAAATGGAGAGAGCCAGAGGAAGGGAACCCCATATTCTGTATATAAAATTCCCAAATCTCTGGCTGATGCCTGAACCATGTAAGGGCAGGGCATACTTAAGCATTTCACATGAAACAAAAAGAAATGAACTGAGATTGGAGCTGCCATTTACTGTTGGGATGAGTTTAGCCAAACGAAATGCCTATTAATACAAAACAAAACAAAACAAAACAAAAAAACACTTTTCAGAGGAATACACATAATGAATGGAATGACAGAAACTCTCAGCCAAGAAATATAAATTATAGAAAGAAATCAAAAGGAAATTTTAAAACTGATAAAGATAACATCCTATCTAATAAAAGAGTAATATTCAAATTGACCATCATTCCAACACATAAGATGGCTGCCCTGGGATTGGGCCTAAATGGGCATTTGGACATCCCTCTCACAATGAAGGAATGCTGGCTCCCAACTGCTTGCCTTGCTAGCCTTCCTGATTGTCCCTAACCCCTTTTGCCTACCAGCCTGATTACCCCCTAACCATTCCCCTGTCAGCCTGATTGCCCCTAACTGCCCATCCTGCAGGCCTTGTCACCCTTAACTGCCCTGCTGAGATTTTCAGATAAAAATAATACACAAAACAAAACTAAGAGAATATGTTGCCAACAGCCAGCATTACAAGAAATAGAACATTAAGTTGTTCAGGTAAAAGAGAAATAATAGCAGCTAAAAACTCATATCAGGAAGGAAAGAAACACATTATACATGGTAAATATGTGAATAAATTATAAAATAAGAACACCTCAAGTTCCCAAAGGCAATGGGAAGAAGAATTGGCTGTGTGTGACTATACTGGTGACCAATCTGACATTACCACAGAACTTGGCATTACAACAAAGTACATAAATATTATGACATAGTTTACTGCTCCCTCCCCACACTCCCACCCCCATCCACAATCTAAATTAATACAATTCACTCATACTTACAATCATAGGTGCTTCAGGATTTTGAGATATAATTGTAGTGATCACTAATATATCGTTTCTAAGCTGACGATCATAATCACTAAAACCTCTTGTAAACAGATGTTTAAAAACTTCCTTTAAAGTTCTGGAAAGTAAAATCATACTTTTAAAACCACATTCTTATGGAAATATTACTTATGTGTCTATCAACAAAATCTTCTTTTTATATTATTCATTGCAAAGCATTTCTAGTCTTTTCTATATTTCCAAATCTGCCTTTAACACTAAGTTCTAGCCCTGACTGGTTTGGCTCAGTGGTAGAGCGTCGGTCTGCGGACTGAAAGGTCCCATGTTTGATTCCGGTCAAGGGCATGTACCTTGGTTGCAGGCACATCCCCAGTAGGGGGTGTGCAGGAGGCAGCTGATAGATGTTTCTCTCTCATGGATGTTCCTGACTCTCTATTCCTCTCCCTTCCTCTCTGTAAAAAATCAATAAATATATTAACACTAAGTTCCAAAGTATTTCTGATGAACAAAACAGAAGCTGCCCAGAGGGGTCTGTGTCACCGAGGTGAGCACAGATGCCTCTGGCTGCATATGTTTTCATCATTAAAGTACAATTAACTTCTGAAAATAAATGTAAATAAAAATAATTTATGCCGAAACTGGTTTGGCTCAGTGGATAGAACGTTGGTCTGCGGACTGAAAGGTCCCGGGTTCGATTCCGGTCAAGGGCATGTACACTGGTTGCGGGCCCATCCCCGATGGGGGATGTGCAGGAGGCAGCTGGCCGATGTTTCTCTCTCAACGATGTTTCTAGCTCTCTATCTCTCTTCCTTCCTCTCTGTGGAAAATCAATAAAATATATTTTTTAAAAATTTTGTTACAGTCTTAACATTAGGTAGAAACAAAATTAATGGAGAATGAAGTGTTCATATTTAATAATATACAAACCAGTAGTGAGAATTCATCAATCCAATCTATGCATGATGATCAAAATTAAGAGTCAATTACTTCAATTTCCTTTTTAAACGTTACTTAAAAGGCTTTTCTTTGTTCTTAGGATAAAGTTCTACCTTGTTACCAAGGCTTAGCAGGCCTTTCAGGTTATGGTCCCTGCTAACATTGTTAGCTTCATCTCTCACTATTTTACGTTGAATTTTCTGCTCTCATCCATATTGAATTTCTTTTAGTTTTTTTTATTTTGCTAAATTCTATTTTCACTTCTGTTCTCTTGTCTAGGATGCTCTCTGCATGCAGAACTCTCCTGTGTTGCCAATTCTTTTTATTATCCAGATACCAGGCTAGGGTTCATGAGGAAGCATTCAGTAACTCTCCGAGTCTGGGTCAGGTTCCCTGTACAAAGCGCAGCAAATTGCTTCCTAGGACCACTTACTCTTCTTGTGATAACAGTGCCCTTATTTTTATTTAGGCTTCAGTCTTTCCTCAGTTTTGGTCTTGTGAGCAGCCTTCAGCTTCCTTTTAGCCAAAGAGCATTCTTTCTCTTTGTCACTAGTAATTCCCTCTGGAATGTGAATTTGGTCCATAGGGACTCAATTCCAAGATTTTCTCTCTGCTTTCCGAAGAGCACACTTTCTCTCCTGCTGATTTGCGGTTATGACTCTGGTCTCCCCAGGTAGAGCTTGTGAATAAAACCAACACAGTGGAAGACAGGGCAGAGAGATGAAGGCCTAAGCCCTGCTATTTGCCGAGCTTTGAATACAGCTGCACCCGAAACCAGTTTTGCCCTTGATTTTTAGTTTTAAAGCTCAGCAATTTCTTACAATTGCTTCAATCAGTTGGGTTGTATGTTCAGTCACTTGCAAACAAAAATGTACTGGCTCACCCTCTCCTGGAAAACACCTTACAATAATGTCTTCCATAGCATTTAGTAGGCTCGCAATGAGTTGCTATTTAATTGTCTGTCTCTCCTAACATAACAAATTCCATGAAAGCAGAGACCATGTCTGTATTGTTTTCAATTGTCTTTCTATGGCCTACTACTGAACTTGGCACAGAGCAAACAATAATTACTTAATAAATAAATGAATGAGTAACTCACAGGCTTACTCTTATTTTTGCTAATGTTTATTCAGAAATTAGAAGACAATATTCAAAAATACATTTATTGAATGAACAAATGAAATAGTTCTTTTAAATGTCTATATACCTATTCAAAGACATTTTAGTTCTTTATATTCTAGCTAGTACTTTAAATTCCTTCCACATAAGGAAAAAAAAAAAAAAAGCTTGCTATGTGCAGATGCATTTATACAACGGCACAAAAGAAATGTCCTGCAACATAGCCATTGCCTGAATCAAAGCCCAATGAAACACAAATTCAAACAAAAATATTATGTCACAAGGTTAAAAAACATTCCTAGCTAACCACATATACTTACACCAAACACTCCAAGTTACTAAGTTGTTTTATGATTTCTTCTTTTGACGATTTTTCTAGTAAGTTCCAGAGTATTTCTGATGAACGAAACAGAAGCTGCCCAGAGGGGTCTGGGTCATTGAGGTGAGCACAGATGCCTCTGGCTGCATATGCTCTCATCATTAGAGTACAATTAACTTCTGAAAATAAGTGTAAATAAAAATAATTTATGTTACAGTCTTGACATTAGGTAGAAACAAAATTAGTGGAGAATGAAGTGTTCATATTTAATAATATACAAACCAGAAGTTGAGAGATGTTGCAGAGCTTTAAGGACCCAAAGTTTCTCAACAAGTTGATTTTCAAGCAAGTCCAATGAATGAACCATTGTTTTTGCCAATCCTCCAACTTCAGCCATTTGAATCTTATATGTTGGGCTAGCTTGCTGGTAACCTAAAAACAATTAGTTAATAAACATGTGCAGTCATTTCACATAGTATCATCTACATTAAGTTAAAGGAATGAATAATTTATCAATAACCAACAACAAAATGTATAAAAAGTGTATGGCATTTTAAAATGGTTAGCAGAGGGACAGGCAAACTTTTTCTAGAAAAGGCCAGCAATTTTAGACCTTGTGGTCATAAAGTTGCTGTTGCAAATACTCAACTCTGCTACCATACTATGAAAACAGGCATAAAGAATGTAAAAATAAGTGGGCATAGCTGTGTTCCAATAAAACTTTATGTATAGTAGGCCCTTTTGGCCTGTGGTCCATAGCTTGTTGATCCCACAAATTTGGGGGCATATCTTAAATTCTGAAAAGGAACAATATTTTTTAGTAGATAGATCTTTTGTTAGTAGATAGATCTTTCCATAAAGAAAAATGTTATGATTACAGACACTGAACGTTTTCACTGTTCAAGTCAATGCATTGTTACTTCAGTGCTTTCAAGAACCAGCAATTATGTGATGTTGGCAATGAAATAAGAGGTAAAATGTAATGCAGTTCTGATAGATGCTAATGAATATAATATTAGGGAAGTCTGATTCTAGGTGATATGTCTCATAAGCATTTCCTTCTTCTTTAGCTTTCATGAGAAATACTGCCTCTCCTTTTTGACATGTGATGAGATTAAATGAACATCAGTGCATGTTTGCTCATCTGAGATGCAGCCACTTTCTCTCTCAGTGATATAACTCACCTACCTCCCTTACTTCTTGACTTTTGAGAGCAGCTAGATTTCTTGCCATAGTTCTGAGATGTCGCAGTTTGTCTTATCTTTCTGAATTTGAGGCCTGACCCTGTTCAAGACCATCCCTTCCTGTGATGGGCCTGGCACTTAAAACATATGAAGAGGAAAACAAAAACGCCTATAATTTCACCATCCAGAGATAACAATATTAACACTTTGGTATATTTTCTTTTTAAATATATTTTATTGATTTTTTTACAGAGAGGAAGAGAAAGGTATAGAGAGTTAGAAACATCGATCAGCTGCCTCCTGCACACCCCCTACTGGGGATGTGCCCGCAACCAAGGTACATGCCCTTGACCGGAATCGAACCCAGGACCTTTTAGTCCACAGGCCGACACTCTATCCACTGAGCCAAATCGGATTCAGCCACTTTGGTATATTTTCTGCTGACACATCAATGTATGCATATTACTTTAGCAATATACTACATGTATGTAGAATTGTATATTCTACTACAGCCACTAAACATTTTATAGTAAGCTTTTCACCTCATCACAAATCTTGATTTTTACTTGCATAATAGTCTATGGTAGGTACAGACCAAAAAGTATACTTTATATCTACTATATCTTTTTCTATTGATTTTACAATTCTATAAAAAGACATAGTAAGAGTAAAGCCTTGATCCCTATCCCCCCGGGCTACGTCTCTTACAATTGCCATACTGAGGGCTTTTCAGCTGTGACTGCAGACGTCCAGCTGTGCCTATCACTTAAAATCAACTGTGAAACCGTTAGCGAGAGCATGGTTTATGGCTCCTAATGTTCGGAGTCTTATCAAAGTAAGGTCAAGCTCACTTCTTGGCACCTTCTCTCCTGTTGTATCTCATACACTTCTCCTTCTATCTGAAAGATGAGTGCTTCCATTTTACCAAGCTTAACACTAAGCTTTTGCTCTTAATTCCATCCTCTCATGCTTTCTTTGGGAATTTCACCCTCCCATCTCCTCTGCCTGTAAACTTCATTTTTAGACAAATTAGAAACAACATATTTTTCTTTGATCTTGCTACCAGTTAGGCTGTTCACCAACTTCCTTCTTTTTCTGATCTTAAAATGTAAGTCTGCATTCGCTCCCATTGCCTCCACTTTCAGAATGCTCTTTAATCCTGTACGTGCTCTAACCACTTTACTGTATGGTAATAATGTGACAAAGGTTAACCATAACTTTCCAGGTACCATATTACCTTGGCCTTTTCATTCCTCAATTACAGGCCTCTGCAGTATTGGCCACCGAGATCATTTCTTTCTTCATCAAACATTCATTCATTGGCACTCAAGACATGCCTATCTTTAGATTTTCTTCCTCTCTTTAAACCTCCTTTCACTGCCAATTTCTCGGAATCTTCCCCCACCCCCCAAAGCCAATAGGGACACTCTCCATGATGTTATTCTTATTCCCTTGTTTTTGGCAAACTCAACCATTCTGATGGCTTCAATTTTCATCTCTATTTGTATAAAATCCAAATCTGTATTTCTGGTCTCTTCTTTTAGTATCTAATGTCTACTATCTACCAAATACTTCCACTTTTCTATCTCATGAATAGTGCAAATCTGGCATTTAAAAATATTTTTATTCATTTCTTTACTTCAGATGTCTTCCCATTTTTCCCTAGTTAAAGAAGTAATCTTTGTTTTCTACTACGGCATCTTATTTCCACTTATCTTAAGAAACATGTAACTTAAAAAATGTAATTTATATCTTCTCTCCCTTCCTAGATTGATTATAAATTATAGAAACTATGAAGGAGGTCCTAAATGACATGGTATCCTCCACAGTGCCAGTGCTTTTTGCTTACTATCACCCAATTCAGTGTGATTCACACAATTAGAAAAGAATAAATAATATTAGCAACACTATTAATTAACATTAACTAATAATAATAAACTAATTTGGGTATGACTTTAAAAATTACATCATAAATATTTACCATCAGAATAAAGATATCATGCAAATCTAAAAAACTTAAAGAATGTATAAAATTTTTAATTTAAAATAACCAAAGAGCCGAAACCGGTTTGGCTCAATGGATAGAGCGTCGGCTTGGGGACTGAAGGGTCCCAGGTTCGATTCCAGTCAAGGGCATGTACCTTGGTTGCGGGCACCTCCCCAGTAGGGGGTGTGCAAGAGGCAGCTGATCGATGACTCTCTCTCATTGATGTTTCTAACTATCTCTCTCCCTTCCTCTCTGTACAAAATCAATAAAATATATTTAAAAAAAAATAACCAAAGAGCTTGAAACTACCAAAAAAATTTTTGTTTTTGATATAATGCATTTATGATCCCACTCTCTTCCCAAGTTCAAATAGAAATGGGACAGAATATTCTATTTATACAGACATTAGAGGCCTAGTGCACGAAATTTATGCACTCAGGGGGTCCCTCAGCCCACTCTGCACCCTCTCATAGTCTGGGAATGTCTGACTAACAGTCAGTCAGACATCCTTAGCACTGCTGGGAGAGGCTTCCGTTACCACCACTGCACTCACCAGTCATGAGCCTGGCTTCTGGCTGAGCGGTGCTCCCCTTGTGGGAGCACACTGATCACCAGGGGGCAGCCCCTGTGTTGAGCATCTGCCCCTAGTGGTCAGTGCATGTCATAGTGACTGATCATTCCACCATTTATTGATTTGCATATTAGCCTTTTATTATATAGGACTTGAGGCCTGGTGCATAAAATTTGTGTCCCTGAGCTCAGCCTACACCCTCTGCAATCTGGGACCCCTAGAGAGCAGTTGGACCCCTAAATGGGCAGACGGACATCCCTTTCACAATCCAGGACTGCTGGCTCCCAATTACTTATCTGCCTGCCTGCCTCATTGCCCCCAACCTGATCACCTCCTAACCACTCCCCTGCCAGCCTGATTGATGCCTAACTACTCCCCTGCCAGCCCAATTGCCCCTAACTGCTCTCCCCTGCCGGCCTGGTCCCTTCAAACTGCTCTCCCCTGCTGGCCTGGTCCTTTCAAACTGCTCTCCCCTGCCGGCCTGGTCCCTTCAAACTGCTCGACCCAGCCGACCCAGCCGACCCAGCCGACCCCTAACTGCCCTTCCCTAACAGCCTCATTGCCTCTAACTACTCTCCCCTGCTGATCTGGTCCCTCCCCAACTGCCCTCCCCTGCAGGCCTGGGTCCCCCCAAACTGCCCTACCCTGCTGGCCTGTTTACTACTAACTGCTCTCCCCTGCAGGCCTAGTCTCCCCCCCGACTTATCCCCCATTGCTCTCCCTTGCAGGCTTGGGTCCCACCCAACTGTCCTCCCCTGCTCGCCATCTTGTGGTGGCCATCTAGTGTCCACATGGGGCAGTCATCTTTGACCACATGGGGGCAGCCACCTTGGGTTGGAGTGATGGTCAATTTGTATATTACTCTTTTATTAGATAGGATGTTATTACTGAAGGACCATTGAAAATTTCACCTGCAATATGCTTCTTTGGTGGTTCTGCATGATAAAAGTCAATAATACACCTACAAATTTGTATCCTCAATTCAGAACTTGGTATTTTCATTAAATTACCTGTCAGAAAGATAAATGAATACTATTTAATAACACTGTCATAGCTTATTTGCAAATTTAAGCATAAAGTGTTAGTAATATGATTTTTAAAAATATCCTCATCAGAAAATCAATACAGTATTGTTTATAATAGCCAGGACTTGGAAGCAGCCCAAGTGCTCTTAAGTAAATGAGTGGATAAAAAAGCCATGGTACATTTACACAATGGAATACTACTCAGTCAGAAAAAAGAATGAAATTTTACCATTTGCAACAGCATGGGTGGACCTGGAGAATAATATGCTAAGTGAAATAAGCCAGAGAAAGGTAAGTACCATATGATTTCACTCATATATGGAATCTAATCTACACTAATAAAAAAGAAAAATGCTAATTGACTATACCTTTGCTATGCCCACAGCCAATCAGAATGAGTATGCAAATTAACCCAACAAGATGGAAGTTAATTTGCATATGCAGGCAGGTGAGGTGTGAAGCCTGCTATGAGGGGGAGGGGGCCATCAGAGGGAGCTACTGGAGTGCTGGCTTTGGGCATCTTGGGAGCGGGGACGGACTGGCTCCCAGGCAGCTGGGAGTGAAGCCAGGGGCCTATTCTTGCACGAATATTGTGCAATGGGCGTCTAGTGAGCAATATAAAGAGAGCTCATTTTAAACTGATTTCATATTGCCCTCAAGTGTGACAGGAGTGTGTTCTGTAGCTGGGCAGTCATCCAGCAAAGAGCAAATTGACACAGTAAGAAATAGGCCTTGTATTTATCATACAAATGTATGCCAACTCTCTTGGAGTCAACATTTAAAAATAATAAGGGCAATAGTGGCATTTTTAAAATGTTACCAACCAAACCTACACTTTTTATCTGTTATACTGTGTCTCCTTTTGGGTTGGCTTCCTATTGTAAATTTCACCCATTAGTTTTCAGCCCACCTGCTCCTTAAGGTCACCTTATCTAACTCCTCGTGTGTATCCTAATTTCATTGATATTTCACCTATTCTAGAGCATATTTTTCTCCAAAATATCTCTGATTAGGAACTATAAAACATATTTTGACCTAAAAGTGTTAGTGTCTATATTAAAAGTTAAAAATGTCTTTTACTTATTCCAGTTGAGTCTCATCTTTCAGTAAGAAATAAAATACTGGGAACATTACAGTTGAATAAATACTTATTTTTCATTTGCTGGGCAATTCTGTGCCTTTTGGTTCCCTTATATAAACAAGGACCTAAATTAATAAGTATAAATTTAATGTAGGAATTGTTTTGGGAACATGCTGTCATGTACTCAAGGGCTGAATCAAGGAGCTAGTGTTTGACTGGTTATATTTCCCAGAAAATTATTTTCTTTCTTTAGAAAAATCAAGCAATAATCACAAAGCAAAGCCTGCTGTTTTATGTTTTTCATATTTTGAATAGGAAACACAGATACCTTCATGTTTATGTATATTACGCTAAAGTTCTTAATGTTCTATCATTTTATGATTAGGTTGTTTACTGAACAATTTGGTTTTCAATGGTTCTAGTAATTATTAGAGTTCAAAGTTGAAAACATCTTTGGGATTACTGAGAAGGACACATACTTCTAATTTACAAAAAATGTTAATAAATATTTAATCGCACTAAATAACATCAAATAAGTACACAGAAATATCTGCCAGTCCTTGTATTTAAGGAACATAGAGTCTTGTTGGTATCATAAAAGACTCGAGGAAAAAACAATACAAAAATTATCACCAAGCACACTATGATTAATTTTCAACTAGAAAACAAGAGCCTAGCTTTGGAGAAGGATTCTTAGTCAAATTTAGTGCAAGAGACATTTCTTTCTTATCAATCAGGCCTGACATATTATAATCCTCTATCTTAAAAAGAATCTTAACTTACCCAGAAGTGCAATTGACTTAGCAGTATCTTCAGCATATGTTATTTCATCTGATACTTTCTTTTTCAAAAATGGCAAGCTTCAATAAGAATAAAGAAGGTACAAGTTATGTTTCATAAAGCCCTTAATTGAACAAGGACAAACTATGAAAAGGAAAATTTTATAACTCCACAGAAGTTTTTTTTCAAGTGTTTGTTAAAATTTGAAACAAATAACATATTAAACTCTAAAAATTAGTTAATACTTCTTCTTCAAACTTTTTCCTTTGCTACCAAAGGAAACAACCTAAAAGATAAAGCATCAGAAGAGTTTTCAACCAAAACGGGTATGAAAAAAGATAAGCATTATAGGCAAAAGGATGCAATAAGAAAAGCATACTACTCACAGGCCCAAACTGAAAGGCTGTATTTTACTTTCAATGTTTTCATCTCCCAAAAATATCTTGAAAAGTGAATGAGGTGATGATGAGGTGTGGAGAAATGCAGGACAAAAGCAAAAATTAGGAAAGTATGGGGGAGGGGGGAATAAAATAATGAGAACAATTATAAAATGTGAGGGAAATAAAGAGTACAAATAAAAAGATTTATCATATTACATAATAAAACACTTAGTCACAGCTCTCATTGAGAGCAAGTCCTTGGCGGAGCTCTGTAGGGGAACTGATGTTGAAAGTCATACTTATGAACCTGGCTTTCTAGGACTTGCACAGCCTCAAAATTTGAAAACATTTTATATATATGATCTTACATTGGTATCATAATTGCCAATTTGTATATTAAAGAAGCACCAGAGTGTCTCCTTGGGTGTTTATTTTTCATGGTCTCTATGAAAAAGGAAGGCATGATAAAGACATTCAATAAATAAATTATTTTTGATTATTTTGTTCAGATATAAAAAATTAAATGTAATTATAAAAGTTTAAATATTATTATTGCTAAATCTAAAAATGTGAGTTAAAACCTACTAGGTATACAGTCTCACTAATATCATATTTACATATTAAAAGAAACACAGTATTTAAAAAGCTAAATTGGTGGAGAAGTTTCAAAGGTTAAATTGTCAGGAGGGTTTATTTCTACTTTAAGAAATGTCCTCTACTACTATATTTTATTGAAAACTAAAAACAGATATTTTAAAGTGTATCTTGATTAGCCACTATGTGGCAGAAAGGAAGCAAAATATACTCCTAGTTCCCTGAAACGTTTGGAGAAACAACAGCATAGATGATTGCGTAGATCAATTTTATAATTCTGGCCTCTAATTACATTAAGAACATTAAAAACATATATCAAAAATAACTGTTGACATTTTATTCTTTATTCAAATTTGGAAAATCAATTAAACATGAATCAGAACCTAATACATCTTTAAGAGTCAAATTTTCTAAAGAGAGAAGAAAACTAGGCTTAAACTATTAAGCATTGTCTATAAATTGTCTCAAGGATTTTCTAAAGATATTACAATTTGTTGGTCTTACCTCAGATTTATCATTACGGTGAGATGAAAAATTTTTAAACTATATTTGCAGTTTAATCTCCGGTAGCAAGTGATCTTAGACTATAATAAAATTGACTACCTTTGAAATACTAACTGCTGTTAAGTGATCAAGTGAAGTTTTCTGAGTTCTGCATCACTTTGCTACCTCATAATGCATCATATCTTTTATAATGCAAAATAAAACATAATAAAATGCTGCATGCTACTATACAATAAAGTTAAAGAAAAACAACTTACCCGAATAATTTTATGATATTATATGTAGGTTCTAGAAAAGCAGGCTGTTTTTCAATTTTTTCTGCACACATATTCAGAATTTTAAATATCTGTGCCAAATCCCTTAGGGGCTTTAATATTTTTAGTTAAGAAATAAAATTAAGATTCATATATTTATACTTATCAACGTATTATTTATAAAACTTGTGCCAAGAAAATCTATAGAGTTCCTATAATGTTAAATATGGTTGACATTTTAAGAAATATTTTTATTGATATTTTATGTTTTTAGAGAGAGGGATACAGAGATATAAACATTGATGAGAGAAAAACATCTCTGACTGGCTGCCTCCTGCATGCCCCCAACTGAGGATCAAGCTCCCAACCCAAGCATGTGCCCTGCCTGGGAATCAAACCATGATCCCTTGGTTCCTAGGTCAATGTTCAACCACTCAGCAACACTGGCTGGGCAACATTATTTTAATTATACTAATTTGAAAGACTAAAGTTAGAACCATATTTTTAAAGAAATATTTAATTTTTGTCTCAGTGACCTTTTACTTCAAAATATTTTTTTTTTCTCCTCTCACGACAGCTTTAGAATTTGATTACCAACTACTACACTATGAATTCGGTTGAAAAAAATTAACTTAATGGCTCAATCATATCCTTCATCTCCACTCACAGTAAACATTAACTGCTCCAGAATAAGAAACCCAAACCTACCTTACTTTTCTGCATCACTTTATTAATATTACTGAGATGCATTCTCTTGTTTTTAAGGTTTAAATTAGTTGAGATCTTATTTCATTTAAACCTAGTATGAAACCAAAATGTACTACCTATAGATCTTCAGGTAAAAGCACCCTTTGTATTACCCGAACTGGTACATAAACAAATTTCATAGATTTTGTAGCAAGATGACTACAGAAAGTGAGAGTATCCTGTGGCAAAATTATTATATATATGCAAAGATTAAAACAACAACAGCTACCCAACAACAAATTAAGTTCTTAGGCATGAGTTTTGAGATACATGAGTTTCCACATATTCTGATCAAGGTGGTATATGTAGTGAGGATACTATCTCATGTTTATATAATGTTTTGCAGATTATCAAGCACTTGCATGTTTTCTCATTTAGTCTTCCTAACAACTTTCATGAGGTGCTGTTATGCCTATAGTTTGATAAGCTCATTAACAGTGGAAGTACTCAAGTAAATTGGTAGAAATAAGACTGACGTGGCCCTCCTAACCTTATCCTCTGTCTCTTTGTGTCTTTAGAACTGCCATTATCTATGTAAAGTTAACAGCATTGTACTGTTTTCAATTTTACATTTTCTGATAAAAGAAAAATATAATTTTGTAAAAAACACAAAATGTTAGCTATTTTGTGTGGTAGACAGAATGGCCTGTCCAGAGATGTCCACATCCTAATGCCCAGAACTTGTGAAGTTACCTTATGAGGCAAAGGGACTTTTCAGTGATTAAGTTAAAAATCTCGAGATGAGAAAGTTATCTGAGATTATTCAGATAGACCAATGTAACCACAGGATCCTTATAAGGGAAAGAGAGAGGCAGCAGAGAATCAGAGAAGGAAATGCGATGACAGAAGCAGAGGTGAGAATGATGATACTCTGAGGAAGGGGCCAGGAGTTGAGGAATGCAGGCCACCTCTAGAAGCCTGAGAAACAAGGAAGTGAGTTGTCCTCCGAACCTTCAAAAAGAACCAGCCTTGCTACACCTTACCTTCAGCTCAGTGAGGCAGATTTTGGACTTCTGGCCTCCAGAAGTATCAGACAAAAATGTTATTTTTTTTTTTAAGATACCCTGTGATAATTTATATTAGCAATAGGAAATGGATACATCTTCTAATAAAAATTCTCCCATTTCAGGATAAATGGAGTAAGCATACATATATAAGTAAAGGATACAAATCCATTCTGATAATACTGCACCAATGTCTTGACAGATTTAAGTTGTTCTTCTAAATAATCCTAAAACAAATGATTTGCTTTAGTTCTTTTATGCTGTTAAAACTGTTGTGATATAATTTTCTTATTAATATAAAAAGAAAGTAGACATTAGAATTATCAATAAATTATCCATTAAAATGATAATTCAATTACTGTATTACAATATAGGTACAATAAGATGTTTCCTGAAACATGAAGGTAAAAATAAACTACCATTTAAATTTGATTAGAAAATTGAAAATTAAAACTAGATTACTGTAAGAGCAGTAATTGTTTCCAGAAATAATATGAACGACATCGGAAACATGTTGAGCAATTTTCTGTGCCAGGCACCATTTAGGAACCATACATGCATGCCAATCTTCAAATCAACCCAATTAGGAAAATACTATTATTATTCCTGTCCTCCAGAATAAAACCTCAAGATGAAACACTAAGCGATTTGTCCAAAATCAGACAGATAATAAGTGGTGGTGTTAGGACTCAAATTTGGCAACCTGACTCCAGAAATTGTAACTTTAACCTCTAAAATATGCCCAGTGTACTGGTACAAACCCAATAGCTTCAGCAAATTAAAACAAAACAAAACAAAACCCTCTACAGTGATATCTTCTCACGACTGAATCACTTCTGTCCTTTTAATCTTTAAATTGTTCATAAGAAGCTGTGCATTTTTTATACTGAGCCCCCTTTTTTTGTCTATAAATAACAAATAATAGGAGCAACATGCAATTGAATTTTCTTTTATAAAAATGCACATATATTTACAATTAAAAATGACTTCCACCACAAACATAGCCAGGAAAAGATAAATTCTTATGGAGTCATTTTTATTGTATTTTTTCTTCTATATAAAAATGCAGAGACTAAAAAAATGTTAAAACAGTGATTAAATTTTGGTGCCTACTAATCACAGGACATCGTTTTATCTGATTGGCTCTACCATGGTCACTTTCCAATTACTAAGAGCATGCAATCTTCATCTTGTAGTAATTTCATAGTGTGTGCTGGCTTTCAGGCAGTTAGTCAGTTCTTGGGTAATGTCAGGAGAGTGTGGTATGTGAGCATATATGCATATGTATTTATGATCCTTTTTCCTAATGCTTGAGCTCTCAATTTTGTGTTTTACCTAAAATAATTTCATTTCCATTACAGTCTATATAATATTTTTGTCAAAATAAACTCCCTATGAGTATTACGAGTATGTATCTCTAACCTGATTTCATATCAGAAAAACTTAAGTAGTACATCATGATACACTTTTTCTGTCCTTGCTTCCCACATCGTGCATGGTAACAAGAAAATACAGAGGCTAGATGAGTCTTTCTCTACTCTTATTATTCCTTCTGTTTATATTTACCATGGATTTGTTCATTCCACAAAACCAAATGTAGTCACCTCCTCCATCTTCCTTACCAGGTGAAATATATTCATACTAAATGTAAACAGACCTTGAATATTTGAAATGGTTTCAAGAGGAGAGAAATGATATTTATGTTGGGGGGAACACATGTTACACATGTTACCTTTCATGGGAATCACAGTTTATAAATAATATAGCAGAAAAGTTTTCTCAAAGCTTACATGAGCGGTCTCTTCAAGGACTTTGATGATACTCTGTAGGTCCATAGGCTTTAAAGCACCCTAAAAAATACAACTCTTATTATTCTATATCATGAGAATCAAGAAGTTACATCAAACATACTATTTTCATGATATTATTTCTCTCTTGGCAACTCAAAAATATCTTATGACAAAGAAACAGTGAGGAAAGAATGAGTAGCAGATGAGACCTTTTAGGAGTAAAAAAATCTTGGTGTTTAAAAAACACAAACCTCTTGAATTCTATTATCATCTTATAATGTTAATGTCTAAATTTCACTCGTTCCAAGAGGCCCAAAAGAGCATCTGGAATAATAGCACTTCCACACATTTCTTCATCATACATATTATACACCTCATGCAGACACAGCCCACGGAATGTGCCTACAGAGATACACAGGAGACTAAGCTCTGACCTGGAGGTATGAGGTCACCTGTCTGAGGTAGGTGTTCCCTCTCAAGTGGTCCCAGCATTCTCACGGTCATCCATATGGGAAAACAGAAACCTCCAAGTTCTACAGCTTTTACATCTTAAATATTTCTCGAGCCCATTTCCTCTTACTGATTATTTGGTTCTCATCTCTCACTCAATTACCGTATTTTTTGGACGATAAGACGCTCCGGACCATAAGACGCACCAGTTTTTAGAGAAGGGAAATGAAGAAAAAAAGGTTCTGAAACAAATAGTGTCCTAAAATATTTTATGTGCATTAAAACCCAACATCACAGTCATAAACACATGTAATCAACCCTGTAAAGTAAACAGCAGCATTTAGAACCATTTTAGAGCTGGGCAAGCACACAGAGACCGCACAGAGCCGGGCAAGTAAAAAAACTTTTTTTTTAAAGTATATGATGTGTAGGCTATATTTGGACCATAAGACGCAGGGACTTTTCCCCCCCACTTCTGGGGGGGGAAAAAGTGCGTCTTATGGTCCGAAAAATACGGTACTTTCTAGCTGTTCTCCCTGCCTCCACTACTCTTGTACTTCCAACATCCTCCTCCACCCTATGGTAAAAATAATAAAACTCAGATCTGAGCACAACCAGTCTGAATCATTCAGTGACTTTCTATGAACACCCCTTTCCCCCTCCTCTGTTTTCAATTATGCTGTTACACTCCTATTCCTCTCCTTGGTTAACCCCCATAGAGTGATCCTTCAAGCTACAGCTCAGGAGTCACCTCCCCAAGGGATGATAAAGGGTAGAGCATCAGAAAGGATAAAAGAATTCTCATCATTTGCAGCAACCTGGATGGAATTGGAGAACATCATGCTGAGTGAAATAAGCCAGTCAATGAAAGAGAAACACCACATGACCTCACTCACTTATGGATAATAAAGAGCCACATAACTTCATGAACCAAAAGATAGATATAGAGACAGTAAAGCAACAAGCAGACTGTCAAATTACAGCGGGGAGGGGAGGGAGATCTGCGGGAGATAAGAGATCAACCAAAGGACTTGTATGAATGCATGAAAGTACAACCAATGGACAAAACACTCTGGGGAGGAAGGGTATGTATGAGGGGGGGGGGGGGCAATGGCAAAATATGTACACAGATAATAAATAAACAAGTAAATAAATAAGGTAGAGCAAGTGTCCCTCCTCTGTGCTCCCACAGCATCCTAAGCATATGTCCTTTACAATTCCCACCAGCATTGCTCTAAAATGGTTTACAGGTTTATCCCCACCACGACCTGCCCCAAAGTTCACTTGAAAGCAAAGACTTGTTTTCTGGCAACCCCAGCACCAAACACTGGGCCTGGCATAGCAAGTTCATTGCAGCTAAGTGGGGAAGAACACAGGAGGTGCCATCATCCAGAATTTAAGTACTTATGATAACACAGGAGTCCCCAAATTCTAAGTACAGTTTTGGCTCTATTTAACTTGGGGGTTAATGCTTCCTTGCATAACATCTTCTTTTTACTTCAAATGTTATGTCAAAACTAGTGGCCTGGTGCACAAAATTCCTGCACATTAAAAGGGGGACCCAGAGTCAAGTCCCCACCTCAAAATTGCATTAGACCCAGACCCGGCAATCCCCCCAACCCCTCATGGGGCTAGATCCAGACCCGGCCATTCCTACCATTGTCAAGCCCGGACTAGCCTCAGGCCCCCTGGCCCGGCACCAGTATGGGGGCGTGGCCTGAGGTCCCCCAGATGGGACAGGGGGCGTGCCTTGAGGTTCCCCATTAAGTCCCACCATGTGGGGGACATGGCCTGAGATCCCCCGTAAAGCCCTGCTGAGTGGAGGGCATGGCCTGAGGTCCCCCATTAAGCCCCTCCGGGTGGGGTGCATGGTCTGAGTTTCCCTGACCCAGCACTGGGGATGTACCTTGAGGTCCCCTGTCAAGCCCCGCCAGGCATGGGGGCACAGCCTCAGGTCCCTGGCTCAGTTCTGGGGCAGGGAGTGCAGCCTGAGGTCCCCCAGCCAGCTGGAGTGGGGGGAGCAGCCTGAGGTTCCCTAGCCCAGCACCAGGACAGGTAGTGCATCTTGAGGTCTCCCTCCCCAATCCCCCCACCCCAGTTAAGCCATGGAGGGCGTGGGCGTGGCCTCAGGTTCCCTGGCCTGGCACTGGGGAAGGGGTCTTGGTCTGAGGTTCCCCGGCCTGGTGCCAGGGCAGGGGGCAAGGCCTGAGGTCTCCGTCAAGCCCTGCCAGGTGGGGGATGTGGCCTGGGGTCCCCTATCAAGCTCATGGGGGCAGGGGAGGGCATAGCCTCAGGTCCCTGCTGATTCTGTGGGTGCAGCCATCTTTGTGATGGAGTGATGGCAATTAGCATATACCCTGTGTATTAGATAGGATTGCTTCTACCTCTTATATGAGTTAAGCTACCCCAGTCACCTTTGTTTCCTTCCTCTTATCAATCCTCCTTTCATACTTACTTCTACTTTAAAATAACCATTTGAAGAGATGATGTAATGATGATATAAAAGTATACAAAAGGGGGGAAATCCTACTTATTCCTATCATCTAAATGCAGCCTATGTTATTTTCTGGCTTTAAGTACTTTTACATATCATTTTCTGTTTTTATTTACATGTATAAAATGTTTTACATAATTTCACTTAGTATTAACACCGTTGTACTTTTGACTTTTAAAGCTATAATGCATAAATTTCCGTATTTTTACAGGGACATTATTCCTTTGCCTCTTAAGTCTAGATTTTCCTTTCTTTCACAATTACAAACTCATATATTCTGACCTTAAAAAAAAAAAGTCTTTCAAAAACAATGTTTGAACTTTAAGTCTGCAGAATAAATATTGAAATGAATTTAGCCAAAATGATTTTATTTAAAAAATTAACAACCCTGAAAAGGACACACCTGGAAAGCTGCTGAATATTCTGTTGAGATCTTCCCCTGGGACCTCCCTTAAAATCTCCAGCCTTAAAATCCTTAGGTCAGAGGACTCAGCACCCCCTCAGGAGCACTGCCTCACCTCCTCCTCCCCTCTACCCCCTCCCTTCAGGTGTATCACCTTGACCTTCCTCTCTTCTAAGCAAGGGCCCTTCCTTTGCCACTATAACTACTTTCCTAAGCCCATTTCATCCATGGATTACTTCTTCTACCTCTGTGATTTTCCAAATAAATGGTCTCTTATACTATGAGTCTTGACTCTGAATTCTTCCCTAGAACTTCCTTAGAACTCAAGTGCCCAGGTTGCTGAGCCCAGGTCCGATCTAACCCCACCTGTCTGATCTAACACCTGGTGCTGTTCTCACACCACCACCACCAACAGGGTAAGACTTAAATTCAGAAAGAGAGAAGGGAACTCGTTAAATACATGTTACATGCCACCTCCTGTGTACCAGGTTTTGTGCTGGATGTTGCTGGTGAATAGTGGAGGAAATGGGTACGCTACAGAAAACACCCAACAGACAAGGTCTCTGTCCTCGGGGAGGACATGTTACAGATAAAGCCGAGCACATGTTACAGATAAAGCACAGATTGTGCATTGGGGACCCCTAAAAATAGGACAGAGAAGAGGAGCGGAGGAACTTCAGGAATGGCAAAGACCTTCCACATCATTTAGTTCAGCGGTTCTGGGGCTAAACATCAGTGGAGGGAGCATTTTAAGAGCCCCGGGCTCCTCACAGAGGCTGCTGTAGGACAGATGTGGGGGAGGGCACATTTTACAGTGCCATGTTTGTTTGTGTTTAAAGCTCCTGAGATGGTTGAGATGGTTGGGGAATACTCATCTAGTACAGGCTAATTTTTAGTGACAAGAAGAAAATTCTGAGGCGTCCTAAATTAATTACAGCAGGCAGAAGGGCGGGGGAAAGAGACAGAGAGGTTAATCAGTTAACAACTGCAGGGCAAAACCAACAGAAAACTGCTTACATTGCTCCCCTGGCTGCAAGTCTCCCGGGTCCCTTAGAGGTTGGGAGGCGCAGGCCTGTGCGGGGAGGGAAAGGCAGGTGTGCTCCTCGGAGGGCAGTGTGCACTGGGTCCTTTGTTTTGAGGGTTTTTGAAGGCTGGCAGTTCAGAGGCCGTCTTAGGGGAGCTCCCAATAGAGCCCTCATCAGCTTTTCCAGGTGTGCCCTCTCCCCTGATCGGTCAGCACCAGGGCAGGGCGTGTTTAGTTATCACTTGGTTTTGCTGCTTTTCTGAGCCTGGAGCTGAAATAGGAGTGAGGCCTAGATATTATCTCTGGGGAAGAAAGGTCAGGGGTCCACCCTGAATCACCAGCAACATGCCAGGGGAGGAAAGGCCCCAGGGGCGAGGGCCAGCGCCAGTCCTGCCCATTGCCAAGCATGCCAGGCACGCGGGGCTGTCCGCCCTGGTGACCGTCTGCGCCTGGCTGTAGACCACATGTGTCAAACACAAGGCCCGCGGGCCAAATCCGTCCCGCCAGGCCTTGCAATGTGGCCCGCACCGCGCTGTCATCACTGCACTCCGCTGCGTTTCCATCACAATGACAGTTTATGACTGTTCAGTAAACCATTCGGCCCGCGATTTAGGCTGGATTTTAGATTTTGGCCCCTTCTCTGATTGAGTTCGACACCCCTACTGTAGACGCTCAGCCAGTCGGTTCAGCTGTCTCAGTTTCTGAAATCCACTTGCGAGGAGTTTTCTTAGCTCCTTACTCTCTTGCCTCAGGGTCACCTGGAATCCTGTGGGAAAGCAGATCCAGAGCTCTCCTCCGGATCTGCAGAATGGGAATCTGCATTTTAGTAAGACCCGCAGGTGCTCCAGACGGACATTAGAATTTGAGAAGCACTGCGCTAGAGGGTTTCCCATTTTCTAGAAAGAGAGGAGCAGTATTAAGATAATCAGGAAGTAAAGAGTAAACAATTTGTGATTTCAAGTGTATGATGGAGCTGGCTTAATGAAGGAGGGTGGGATCCACACTCTCATTGTTAGCTGCCAGGATACACTGTCTCTCAAGCATAGGCAGAGGAGGAAGTTGCAATTGTGGGATGTTTTGAAAATATCTAGAGTTCCAAGAGTCTTTCCCTCTACTGAGGCTGAGGTCTAAAACGTTACCTTTTTTTCTTTTTATTGACACTGGGGCCACTCATTCTGCCTTCCCAAATTCGCTGGGACCCTTGTCCCCTCCTCAGTCTCTGTTAGGGGGCTTGACAGACTATTCTCGTAGCCGTTAGCCACCTCACCTCTACCCTGCATCTTACTAGACAGACATCCCCTTTACCCAACCTAATAAGTTATCGTTTTCCTGGTGGCAAAGAGCACGAGGCCCCCCTCTAAGTACAGAAACTGAGTAACTTTCACTTCTCGTGGCCTTAGGGTCCCCGTTTGTAAAAGCAATCCCAAACAAAACCCGAGTGATCATTTCTCCCAGCTCTCCGAGTTTCTATTCTATTTCATTTCTTTTGACAGATACTTTTTCTTCAGTAAAGTATTTAAAAATATATAAAATGTTAATGCTCCTGAAGTAGTTGTTGTTAAGCAAACAGGCAAACAAACAAAAGAACCTTGGAGGCTGAAAGCGTTTCTAAAAGTAAGATTTTATCGAGCCACATGCCAACCAAAAAAAAGGACCAGGTGCTGGGAAATGAAGACTAAACCACCAGCAGCCGTGCCAGGGAGAAAAGACAAACACGTCCACCATCGACGGGCACTTCTATGCTTAATGTTTGGGGAAGGAAGATATGAGATGTTTTGAAAGAATTTACATTGGCTACAGATAAGGGTGTTGGGGAGGTGAAGCAGAGGCAGTCCTATGACAGGCACACAGTCCATAAGTAGGAAATGCTACGTTTGACAACAGTCAGCACGGTCATGCATGTGTGGGATTATGGAGTCTAGTAGTCTGCTAAACAGATGCTTTCAGGAATGTGAGCTGCGGGGTCTGCAGTGAGCAGTCTTTTGCTAGTTAGCCCACAGCTGGCTAATGGTTCACTACTCTGGTCTTTTTCTCTCCCTCTCCCCAGGCCTGATGTAATTGAATGAATGTGGTGCATCTCAGAATTTTTCTCTTGCCATTGCTAGCAAGGTGGGAACTTTAATTAATACAAATTGATTTCTTTTTGGAAGAGAATCCTGAGCCCTGGAAGGAGAGTTGTAAAAGAAAAGGAAAAGAGAAAAAGGAACAGGGGAAGGAAGAAAATGCACACACCTATGAACAGGTATACTTGTTTTGCTTTACTTGATATGTTGTGGACTATTTTGGCAATGGCCCATTAAAAGTATTTCCTCTTTTTTCTTTTTTCTTCTTAACCCATGCTTACCTTGTCCCCCACCCACTTTTACACCAAGTGAAGGAAAAACGAATGAGAACCCTCGGAGACAAAATGCACCTGCTTTCCAGTTTTGCCTGGTGCTTGGGAGGACAGCGGTGTTGAGCTCCCTTGAAGCCCTGGGGGTGAAGGGCTGCTGTTCCTTAAAAGTTCTTCTTTCCCCAGCCCACAAAAAAGTGGTTGAAACACTTCCACAAAGCTGACTAGGTCAATTCCCCGTTCCTCCTCATGCAAAAATGCTGTTGCTCCGAAGGCTACTGTGAAAACGTCGGACCATCCTCAGAGCGTTCAACCCTCGTCCCACAGCAGAAGAGGTCCCAGTCAACTGGCTACTCCCACGGAATTCTCCAAGGCCCTGGGATGTGGCCACAGGAGACAAGGTTCCTTACGCAGCAGGAGACTTGTCAAGTCTCCACAGTAATTCCCACAGCGGCCCCACGCCATTAGCGTGAGGAGGCAGGGCAGGATTCCTCCATAGAATTCACGTTTTAGGGCTTGGCCATGGCTCTCTGGGGTGGAGCAATGGAACCCTAGCGTGAAACCAACGACTTGGAATTCCTAAGTACCCCCGCTACAATGGAGACCCAAGGGGAGCATCTGCAGTGAAACTTCTCAACAGATCAGCTTGAAAGAATTCATTTTTATAACAAGTAAGTTCATAACCAAACATATGCACAATACATTAAATCAATTACAAGGGACGTGATTTCACTCACATGTAGAATCTAATGAACAAGATAAACTAGCAACAAAATAGAAATAGACTCATACTGGTGGGGGGTGGGGGTTAAGGGCTGGGAAGAGGGGGGGGGATGGGGAAACGGGAAATATCTGTAACACTACCAACAATAAAAATATACATTTTAAAAAAGAAATAGACTCATAGATACAGGGAATAGACTGATAGCTGTCAGAGGGGTAGGGGACTGGAGGCTGGCTGAAAAGGTGAAGGGATTAGGCAAAAACAAACAAACAACTCATAGATACAGACAACCGTATGGTGATTACCAGAGGGAAAGGGGAGTGGGGGGGGGGGAGGTAGAATAGGATAAAGTGGGGGGAAATGGTGGTAGAAGGAGACTTGACTTGGGCTGGTGAACCACCTCCCTCCACCACCCAGTAGCAGCAAATTCAAACATGGGAGAAAGCCTACGCCTCAATCAAGAACATCACTAGATAACAGGGATCTACCAGTACATACTAGTACACAAGTACAGCGCAGACAAGAGTTCAAACTCATGTTCTTGCTAAGAATGTGTCCTCCCCCCCAGGCCCTTCGTATTAATAGTCACACTTTCTTAGGAACCCCGGCAAAGCCTCCCCTGCTCACCTGGTGGCCCGAGGTCCCGGGCAGGTACCTGGGCAGACGATGGCTCTCCCCTCTGGTCAGCTGCGCGGTTCTCGGAGGGACCCGCTCATGGGTGCCCCGAGGTGGACAGGAACCTCGGCCCCGCGGAATACCCTCATTCCCACGGGGGGCCCCCATTTCCCTCCTTGCTGCCCCCCGCAACTCGTCCCCGCCTCCAAATCTCAATAGACTCCCTCCACACACACCCCACCCTCAAACGCCCCCAGCACGTACCCGGGACCAAACCTGAGCGTCCTCATCCTCCGTCACCACCCCGATGACCGGGATTTGTCGAGGGCTGACGGACTTGCTCTTGCTGCGCGGCCCCTGGGCCTCGGCCGCCGAAGGGGCCTCGGCTGCGGAGGGGGCCTCGGCGGGCGCCGGGGCCTCGGCATGGCGAGGCATGGGGGCTCTTCGGTCCTTCGATGTGCCCGCCGCGGAGGGACTCAAAGACGCCCTACCACCGAGAACGGAAGGCCCCTGAGAGCCGCTGCCCCGCGCCGCCGCCGCCCACCGGGAGGGACCTCTGCTCCCGCCCGCCAGCTGGTTGCTACCACGCCAGCGCGTTGCTAAGGGCGGGGCCAGAGACCTTGGAAGCGCCGGCTCCTACGGAAGCCCGGGGATCCAAACTACCTCAAACGCTAGCCTGCACCTCCGCGCTCAGGACGGCAGGGTTGTTTTGTGCGCTAGACCTGGGCATTCCGCGGGGCCGAGGTTCCTGTCCACCTCCTGGCACCCACGAGCGGGTCCCTCCGAGAACCGCGCAGCTGGCAGTTTTCGGGCGTTTTGGTAATGTGCTCAGGGCCTTCATGAGCGTGGGTAGAGGGGTGAGGTGTGGAGGTGGGATGTGTAAGAGGTACAATCAGTGTTTCCCAAACTTTTGACATATGTGTACCCCTTCTATAATTTTCATAAGGCTGAGTACCCCTCGTCCTCATGAGAATGTAGAATTAGGCGCAGCCAAGCACGGTACAGTGCATATCCCCACCAAACTCCGGTGCAACGTGCACCCCACCAAACTCTTCCCGTACCCCTGGGGGTACGTGTAGATGGTGGACGGATGGTGTTGGAAGTGAAGCAGTTTATCTCACCCCGGAGAAATGACCAGTGTCACCTACATTTTCCAGCTTAGGCTATGGTGACCAGAAGTCTCGATTTCTAACAATTTGTCCCGCATCCCGAGGCGTTTTAAAAAAAAGTCCCGATTTTCCAAAAATTGTTAGAAATCGGGACTATCCCGCCAAAAAGCGGGACGTCTGGTCTCCTTAGGCCCTCTCTTCTGTACTTGAGGGGTCCTACGAGGCAAGTTAAATAAATAAGGCGTTTCCCACAATGTGAGAAGACTTCTGAGTCAAACCGCTGAATCTATCATAGAACAAGTTCATCTCGCTTTCCTTACCTGTTAGACAGCTGTGAGCAGTTTTGTAAAGTGCCGCTTGGCCCAGAAGCACTCAGTACATGACCAAGATTACCGTTGACTTTACTATTTATTACTGGTTATCTACTCACTGAATCCTGAGTAATAGTCCGAGAAGGGGAAAAGACTTTTAAGGAAAAGCTTCTCGTGATAATTATTATAACTTAACCACGCCAAACATCTTGGCTGTGAAAATTTAAGAATCCTTTAAACCTTTTAATCCTTTAAAAACAAACAAACAAACAAACAAACAAAAACCCTACAGATATTCTTCAAGATTTAAATGTTTTTATATCTCCCATAAAATGTAAGGGCTAAAAAAATTACACAGAATCTCCATAAAAAATAAATTTCATTTCACTTCTCAGGGTTTCTCTTCTCATTGGTAGAATAAGCAAGTAGATCAGAGATTTCTCAGGTTCCTTAACCAGTTCGAACACTGAGTAACATTTTTGGCTCCACAAATAAAGGGAACTGGGAAAACCAGCTTGGGACTGGCAGTACTTTATGTAAATCGGAGCCAACCCCCAAGCTTCTTTGAGAGTCCTGAGCATTTCCAGTCTCTTATTTCCTCACCTCAACGCACCTTTCTACTTCTCTGAAACTGCCCTGACTGAGGTCAAAGTCTGCGGACACTGTGCTTGTCTGGATGGAGTGTTTTACACTGTTGACCGCTCTCACCCTGCTTGAAACTCCTTTGCCTGAGTTTCAGCACTCTTCTTTCTTTTAGCGTTACAGTTACCTACTGGTACTTTTGGAGCACCTCTCAGGCCTTACCCCTAGAATTGGGCTCAGCAGGTCGTAAGTTTGCTATCACCCACGGAGAGTGCAACGGGTTTGTCAGGTGTACGATTAACATGACCGTAATGGAGTTGCACATTCCGCCGCCTACACTGTATCCAAAGCAGACTGAAACCACTCCGTTCTACACAATGGAATACCTGAGACCGAGAGGGTGGTGGGGAACTGACCTTTGTTCCATATCTGACCTTACGCAACAGGTATTTTATTTCCTCATAGCCTGGAGGCTAGAAGTTCAAGTTCAAGGTGTCCAAGATTGGTTTCCTTTGGATGCCTCTCTCTCCTTGCAAGATGGCCCTATTTTGACTTGGTCATCGCATGGTCTTCCCTCCACGTTAAATTTATGAGGATGCTAGTGAAACTGGATTAGGGCCCACTCATGACCCCATTTTATCTTAATTACCTCTTTAAAGGCCCTCTCTCCAAACACAGTCATTCCGAGGTACTAGGAGTTAGAACTTCAACGTATGAATCTTAGGAGGATACAATTCAGCCCAGAACTGATTCCAACATCCTTTGGGTTATAAATCTGTTCGTAGAAAAAACAGATTCAAGAGTAGAATATGCTTATTTAAGGCAATACTGGTATTTTTGCCTATGGGACACTGATATTTCTCCCAGTAGTGATAAATTACTATTTTGATTTAACAATTTATCACTGTGCATTTTTGATCAATGTAAATCTGTCCCTGGGAGATGCATGTCCTTCAAGGGCTCCAACATATCTGAATTTTGAACCTGCTTTGTAAAAATCATTATTTATTTCTCGTTGTATTTTCCATTTGAAGAATCCACTACCAAAACTATTGTGCTATCCTCGGTTTCCTAGAACTTGCCATAAACAAACAACAAATATTCAACTGCTGCCACTTTATTGGAAGCCACTATTTCTGGGAAGTATAAGTTAGAAGATGGAAGTGAGGCAGGCAGTGGAGAAGGGAGTACAAATATAGGTGTTATTGAGCTGGCCAAAGCTTTATAAGGGCAGTTAATTCCTCAGCCTTTTAGAATATTTTCCTGGAGACCTATGGATTATTGCACCTCGGAACAGACCATCTGGGGAAAAGGAAGGAAGAATTTATCCACCCGCTTCCTCTGGGGCTGCATCTCTTTGGTCAAAGTTCACCCCTCCAGTAGGGTTGCAGGACTTAGCAAATAAGTACATATTAAATAATAAATATTCCTATGCACTATTAGTAACAGAATTACATTAAAATTTATTTTTTGGCCCTATCTGGTTTGGCTCCGTCCCGGGTTCGATTCTGGTCAAGGGCACATGCCAAGGTTGCAAGCTCGGTCCCCAGTAGGGGGCGTGCAGGAGGCAGCCAATCAGTGATTTCTTATCATCATTGATGTTTCTCTCTCTCTTCCTCTCCCTTCCTCTCTGAAATCAATAAAAATGTGTTTTTTTTTGTGTGTGTGTTTTTTTTAAGTTATATTGCCTTAACTGCTTTGGCTCAGTGGATGGAACATCGGACTTTGGACTCCAGGGTCCCAGGTTCGATTCCAGTCAGGGTAATGTACCTTGGTTGCAGGCACATCCCCAGTGGGGAGTGTGCAGGAGGCAGCTGATCAATGATTCTCTCGCATCATGGATGTTTCTATCTCTCTCTCCTTCTCCCTTCCTCTCTGAAATCAATAAAAAACACATTTTAAAAAGAATAAATGCAGCCGAGACCGGTTTGGCTCAATGGATAGAGCGTCGGCTTGGGGACTGAAGGGTCCCGGGTTCGATTCTGGTCAAGGGCATGTACCTTGGTTGCGGGCACATCCCCAGTAGGGGGTGTGCAAGAGGCAGCTGATCGATGACTCTCTCTCATCGATGTTTCTAGCTCTCTAGCTCTCTCTCCCTTCCTTTCTGTACAAAATCAATAAAAATATATTTAAAAAAAAAGAATAAATGCAAAAGAAAAAAGAATAAATGCTAGTGAAAATAAATGTTTAAGAATACAAACTCATTAAATAGATGGTTTTCTAAATTATTACTTTGGCAAAGACAGACAAACAGAACCCCCAGGATTCCAAAACTATTAAATGTATTTTTTGGATACTTCTAAAAAGAAAGAGAAAAGTATTAGATGGCCTCCATAAAATAATGGAATTATTATTCAGTAAGATAGAAAAATTAATTTATATACAACATTTCAAAAAAGAAGTTAAAACACATTAAATAGTACTTTTTATTTAGGTGTTTATAAGGCAGGTCTATGAGAATGATATAAAAACATAGCATCTAATTTGATAGCAATAATTTGGTGATTACAGAGTTTTAGCAAATATCTATTACACAGTTATAAAGAAGACTGTTTTCTAAGCGGATACAAAAATATTTAATCAAAGATCAAGACAAGAAGATGAGTATAATTAATTAACAATGAAAATTCAATTCTAACATGAACTGCACATTTTCCTTTAAAAACTTTTAAAGGTAAGAATTATTGCATTCTCTTTAATTCAAACAGTGTTGAACGGTATCATGACAAAAAACTGAAGGCCGGAATGGGTTGATTTTGACTTCATATAAAGAAACCCAAGTTTACAATGGCTTAACTACAGAAAAGGCAACCCAAGTAATGTAGTAGTCAAGATCTTTTTAGTCTCCAACGTGCCATCCTTAGGGTGTGGCCTTGGTACTCTTGGATTTGTCAAGGCTCTGGTTATTTCCAGAATTCCCGCAAATGGAGGAATAAGATAAACGAACACATCCTGGAATCTTCTTCCAAGAAGTCACTCATACATTCCCCAGACATCTCTCTGGACAACACTTAAGTCACATAGGCCACCAACTGCGAGGGCAGTTGAGGAATTTGATAGACAGCAGCTTTTAAAGAAGCAGGGTCACTAGTCCCTGTTCAAGTTGGTTATCTGAAACACTATGTAAAACCTTTAAAGAAAATCTTAAGAGAATATTTCCTAGAAGTTGGCATTATGGAAATCATACAAAAGACCTTGCTTCTGTGATTTAACTTAGCCAGACTAGTCAGTGGGAGTATCCATAAAGTCTGCCCTAATTTTGAATGGCAGCATGAATGAAAATCCATTGAGTTGGAAAGCAAAAATCTCAGTATGCATATGTGTTAGGCTGAACCAAACATTGTTTTGGTATCATATGGGCAACATTTCTGAATATTAGCACTTTACAATTTTTCACATTAAAAAAAATTAAGGAACTTTTCATTCCTGTAAAATTCACTGTTCAAAGGTATGAACAGATTGTGTTTCCACTAAAATTATTATAGTTCCATTTAGAGCCATTACACAGACTGAATATACACCAGAATGTGTTTTACTAACTTACTGACTTAGGAACAATGGAAGATGGAGCATCTCCTTTCCTTGATGACACATCACAAATATAATCTTAACCCTGGACCAAGGTGTATCATTGGTAATACACTGACACTGCTCTAAGGCATGAGTTTAC